GAGGATGCCGTACATCGCCCCGGCGAACCACTTCTCCCACGGCTGCTGCAGGACCATCACGGCCGCCGGCTCCGCCATGACCGTGCCGTTTCCGTGCTCCGGGATCTGCTCCGTCCCGTTCATTCTGATCCCCCGTCTGTCACGGACAGCCGCTCCGACAGGTCGATAAATCTCGCCTCCTTAAATTATACATCTCAGCGGGGATCGATTCACAGCGCGGCCCGGAGAAGGGGCTTCTGCTACAGGTAGGGTTCCCTGCGCAGTGTGCGACCAACGCCTAATTGCCGAGCCCATGCGTAGTACAGACCCCAAGTGAGTCCTTATATACCTGGCAGCGCACATAATTTCCCTGCTAGCGGCTTGAATACAGTTCGTTGTTTCATTGATCTAGATTAACTATTATTTTTTCAGATTGCGCTGAATTTGTAATAAAATTAGGTGAAAACATTGCACATTTTCTCGACAGCGAGGAAAGTTTTTAACTGGAAAAAGTATCCCACGATATACATACACTTACTTACGTAAAAAGAAATTAAACTGTCAGTCAACAGTGCAATAGAATAAACATTTTCAAATAAAAGGAACATGCTCCAACGATAATAATATTTATGTAAATGTGTTTCATAACAGCTAGAACAAGATTAAGAGGCTCTGTGATGTTGATACTACATAAGACGTAACCTAGAAAACGTGTTCGAAGAAAAGCCTGGGTGTTTGTTGGCAGTTCTATGAACTCTGGTAGACTGATTCTTATGACTTCCACCTGCGTCACTAGACAATCTGTTTCAGTCTGGTTCGTGAAGTTTTCTTTTTCCTTTTTTTTATCGCAAAAGATAAAAATTAGGTGTTTGATCTTAGTGTTCGTGTTATGCGTAGAGGGGGGTGTCAATATTTCACGTGGGTGAGTGGGTGAGAGTTAGTTAGTATGTGAGTTAGTTAGCTAGTTGGTGCCTGGATCTCCGACCACTAAGCACAGTACACCACCGTAGGTGTTTCAACCATGTTTTAAATCGCGTTCAAGCATGACAGTCTTAGCATAACTGTGGTTCTACGTGGCTTGATCGAAAGAATAACACAACAGTGCTTGTTGTAGTAATACTATGGCAATCACAAAACAAGTCAAAAACAACATGTCACTCCCTTGGTAGCAATGCAGCTTGATGTAAGCTTCTAAAGGTTACAGCGCAGCTGTGTGTTAGAGATTCAATGAACAATGATCATACTTAATTGCTTGATCCTCGCCTATTATTTCCAAACGTCCTCATTCTGAAGGGAAATGTGACTTCTAAGTCACGTAGGCCACGATGGAAATGTTAGAATGATTCTATGTGTGGGTGGACGCGTGCGTGGTACATGTGCCGAAACGGAAACATCAGCCCCCCTCCCTCCCCAAAAAATATTTGCCACCCTTTACCTTTATTACCTTCGTCAGAAGGTTCTGTGTGTAGGTACACCATACATAGGGGCTGCTGATTTTGTAATCGGTTATACCTTGGGGAGTAGTGGTGCATGTATCTTTATGATATTTGGTAGGTAGGATAAGGTTGGGAAAAGGAATGTCAAGGTCAATTTTGTGTACTCAAGCGGTTTTGTAAGGTACTGCAGCGGGGTACATGGGTATAATATCTCGTGTTGTGGACATGCTATGGCCTAGATTTTTGAGTGGAGCACTTGAGGGATTGTTCTTGCCCACTTTAATTTCAACGGATCCAGCCTCAGGCCCACTTTACACCAGAGAGCGATCGCCGAGCCACTTGATTTGTCTGACACTTGACTTCATAACTGGAACACAATATAAGATGTAAAAGTATGATGTGAAGTACGTCGTTTAAAAATCGTTCTCTATCTATGACATTCATTGAGCGATATCTCAAATATTTGGAAAGGGGGTGTTACAGGTAATGGTGCCAGGCTAAGGAGTAGACCCTGCCCGACCTGTTGATCAATACATTAAGAACACCGCTCTGCATCAGAGGACACGGCGCAGCTGCGTATTAGAATTTCAATAAACTCAAATGGCTACGTTGCATCCGTCCCCGTTCTTTCCCTACGTCATTTGATAGGAAGTGTGCCTTTTTTCCAGTCACGTGGGCCACGGAAGAAATGATACCACTGCCCTACTTAACGTATAACACGGAAAGAGCCGAAGAAACTGGGGCAAAAGAACATTTGGTCTTGTCCTTAATGGAATGGATTAAATCTGAAACTTGCAAAAGTTCGTACAAACGAAGATAAAACGCGGATTCGAGAATAGGTTTTGAATGGCTTTAGTTAGATCTAGAGGATGATTGTAGAACGATTGCAACAAAGAGAGATTTGGTCTTGCCTCAGGAATGGCTTTAACCTCTCGGTTCTGGCCGGATTTTAGATAAGCAAGGACATGTTTTAGGAAATGGGGACTTTACTCCGGCCCTTTGAATGGTTTCAGGGGAATGCAAAAGTATGCAGTCAATACCGCCAGATATCACGAAAAGTTATTAGTATGCTCAGACCCATTAAAGCTTTGATCTCGTTCTGGAAATAATGGCTTCAACCGGACGATCGGAAAATGAGTGAGTGAATGGACGAATCATTTTGGTCAGGTGATTCAACGTTAACCTCGAAATTTGCTCCAACTTTTGCAGTTTACTGTAATAACAGAGAGAAACTTCACCAGGCAAACCACAGCCTTTGTGGTGGCGTAAATCAATCAATCATATGACTACCTCAGATGATTATTCCTTTATCAAACATATAACCAGTCATTACTCCACAGATATCACAAAAGAGTGAGGTCGGATCTAAGCTACGATTTAAAGATGACACAGAGAAAGACGTTTGCTATGCTGAAAGGTGGCCATTAGTCGTAGTTTCTGACCACAAAGTGGTATGAAATCATAATAGTTATGTTATATTGACAGGCAACTGTACATTGTAGCATTGCATCTTTATAGTGATAAAAGGGTGCATTGGCCTCCTAACATCGGGAGGGATTAACTTGTTTTTTAGATCATTAGATATCATGTCATGTTCTGGTGGTACAGATCTGTGGGGGTAAATAAAAGAAGAATGGGTTATAAAAAACCATGCGCAACTGTACAATGTATCAATATAATTGTTTGCGTAACAGTAATAAAAGTACGCGTTGGATTACCATAAGAAGGGCCGTATTACATCTTTATATTAGTCTGTTGGGTTGCGTGACATATTATATGAAAATGATATTGCGAAACCCACGGAGTGATTGCAGCATCACAATCGTACCCTCAATGGAATCAAAAGACGCTTTGGACTAAAACATTCACAGAACGTAACAGTTAATTTGTTTTTAAGCTCACTTGGTATTATGACTAATATCAGAACAATTATCATCCATAAACGGGAGCCTTTTGAAAAACAACAGTATCAAGGTCTTCCATTAATACTGTTTTAATACATTACCGCCAATAATCCGATAATAGGCCAATATCTGCGTGTCTATGCTAGAGTTCAATTTATCATAATTTTACAGTGATTGCCAGGTGGGACAACCATTGCTGATGTCTTGTACCGCGGCTCTCTCAGAAAAACAAGTCATTTATAACCGTCTTCCTCTCCATTCCGCTGCCAACCTTGTCATGAAGGGTTGTTACAATCTTACTTTGTAGGTCAAAGTTGTAAATCAAACGGACAGGCTCTCCCGGGAGGAAATTATGGGAGTAATAGTTCTATTTTTATCGTCGGGAATTTATCAATTTCATGGCTTGATCGTTTGATCACCTGTCCAATATTCGTCCATAAATGCCGCCGAAACTACCGACGGTGAAGAATATCGAAAATGCAATAAAATCAATGGGTTATCCAACCCGCGATACTGGCCCAGAGGGATACACATTTCCCTTTATTAAATGAAGCGTTGATATTCTTTTATATATCAAATGAAACACAAACGATGTTCAGGGACGGGGAGATGGGCGGGGTCAACGTATGGCTCGTAACTTGTAAACATTAATGTCACATCAGTTGGTAACAGAGTGTTCTGGAAGGCAATGAGAAACTACATATATAGTCCTATCGGTTTCTTCCCTGTGTATCTACAGTCGATGAAAAGGCTTTGCATTTCCTAGTGATGGAAAACAGTTCTTCTAATGTTATTGGTAATGTTACATCATTGGTATTGCAATATCGTTCACATCACAATATTGTGTTGCTGGAATTATGACACCATAAATGGTAATATAATGTTATTGGTGCTCGTACACACCGCTGAAGTGTTTTCTCGGATTATTTCAACATTTTATTTTGATAATTTGAATGCAATTGCTTCTCTTTTAAGCAAATATATACTGAGCTATGATTGTTAAAAACTACCACCAGTCTACAATGCACAAATGAACTCAGAGTGTGTGAGTGCAAGCACAATTCAGCTGCCTCTCTTTTAAAACTGTGGCAAGTTAGATCCAAACGTATGGACGCGTGATGAAATAGACCAAACAATTTCAAAACAAAAGGTCGACGAAAGGACAGCATGATATCTATACCCAATTACCGAACATTGTGTTGCTGATTCATCGATCTAAAAGGTGACAAGGGAAAAGTGTAGTCATCCATCGGTCGTTATTTGTTCTAAATCATAGAACAGGTCGATGTAAGGAGCGGAGTTCTGTAAAGTCGATGGATTACAGAACAGTGTTTTGATCTAGCGGGATTGCTGAAGCAGCACGTCCTGCTAACGTCACTTCCAGCTGACACTCGCACTGACACCGCCACTGCCTCCTTCATCAAGAGACTTTGGGATCCACTAGGAGACCCATAACTTGTACAAACTCACCCTACCATCTCAATCTAGATCGATAAAATATTGTTACTGAATGTACTTTAGACGCCACAGATATGTGTGCGAAATACTGCATTGTCAGCAGGTCTAGCCCTCTGCAATATAGCAGCATGCTTGTTGTGGCACCCTGGCTGTGTGTCCTTCATAACCAAACCGATCGTTAGAGAATGTAGAGCCCGACCTTCGAACGCTGATCCTCTCTATCCAATCTTTCTAATTTCCAATTTCCCAGAAAAGAACTGTTCTCGTAGACCGATTTACGATTCTACGTATACACGGTCCTTTGAGGGTCGATTTCTCATAAAGGCCTTCGTGGAACCGTCCTCGTTGGGCGATTACTGCCATCTACCCGGCCCTGGGAGGGTGTGCGGAGACTGCAGTGGGGCCAATTTACCGGGGAGCGGCAAAACTTTCTTGATTGATGAAGCATCTGATTGAGATAGACAGCGTTGTGGGTGAAGGATAACCAGATTCCCACCTTCAGCGATACGGTTATGAAAGAGAGAGAAAGATTACAACTACATATAGAGGCCGTTAACGTTTGTCTGTGGACAGAAACAAAGAGGAGGTTTAATTTTAAAACTGGTTACGTCTATGCAAGGAGCTTTGTGATGAAAGTTCCTTGGTCTATGGTTTCTATTTTTGGTTTCTATTTTTCCATTTTGTTTTATTTTTGCGCTCTTGCATTAGATTTGGCAAGGATTTTCGGCTTGGTGCCCAGGCGCTGTGTAACGCATATCCAGAGTCAGACGTGGGGTCAGTAAAGATGAATGATTTAGGGGGATCACCATTCCCATTAACTGAAATCTCCTCTCTGCCTCTGAAGACCCCATGCTGGGAAAAACAGATCCAGTTGATAACATGATACATGTAACACGGGTTTTTAAATACACCAAAGATTTAGATTCCCCGAACTGTCACAGTAGTCCATTTGTAGTACAGTAGTACATAACATTATAGAAAAAAAGTGATACCACAATTTGAGCATAAAAATCATACTGGGTGATGTGGCAGAGGCCCCTCCACCACAAAATCCGGTCAAACCTTTTCTGTAAAGTGGGTGCCACGAAATCACATTTTCCAGGCCTTGGCTCCTATACTAATAACATCATGGAAAATGATTGCTTGTGCGAAGCGAACAAAACAAACAAACAAACAAACAATCAATCAAACAAACAAACATGGATACAGAGCAATGTTGCGATGTTTTCCACTGTGACGTGACACGTGAAGGCGTTTCAGCACCAAGGAAAGTCTTTATTTATGAGGATGCTTTTTGGCGGAAAATGAGCTTATTCGTGGAACCCTTCTTCACACACCCTGCGTGGTAACATATAGACTGACATGTATCTTTTTTCGTTTCCGATGTTCAATTATAGAGGAGGGTTAAGTCGTTTAACCTTTGCACAGTTTAGGGATAAGCGTTCTAATCCACGGGATCTTCCATTGACGTGTCTCAAGATTAACGGGGGATGAACCATGGAAAATACCTAATCCCCCTTCAGCACGCAGATACAGAGTTAGACAGCACACGCACGTACTCGCACAGAGGCGGGGACAGGGTCGGGGGTAAAGATCGGCTTCAGTCTGAGTTTGTTCCAGTTTCCTTAATTACTGCAGACAGGATGACACAGGACGAACCTGATCCTGTCTACGTGTAATTACTCCCGCCGTCTCTGATTACACCAAGGACGTGTTTCTCTTCATATAATGTCCTCTATGCCACAAGAATAGGCAAAAGGCAATGACCTCTTGGCGAGTCGAAAGAAATAATCATGATCTACCCAGAAGACAAAGGCAGTAGTAGATACAGATGTTTGTATTTCCAAAAACATTTTGAACATCAATACGAAATTCCAGATATAAAACCCTATTTCCGGACAGTGTTTCTCTGTGGAGTTGGTTCTTGCCTGGTACCCAAACCTATCATACCTGCCGAGGCTCTTTAGTCTTTGGCCGGTATTCGCTGGAACCACCCGCTATTGTTTTAACCTATGAAAGTCGCTAGAGGTCTCTTCTTCTCTAGTCGAACAAAATCATAACTCCAAGGAATTGGAGTTTGGTGAAGCTTCAAAACTCCCTCCCTTGGTGATGTAGTTAAAGTAATGAAAAGTTCTCCAACCTTGTATCTCTTCTACATAAGTGTGTTTTTGGCAAATTTCTGCTACCACATATATGTCTGACGTTATATTAAAACTATCTAGCTCCCTCGATCCTATCCAAGAGCCGATTTTGACGGTAGTGGTTAGGGCAGCCACAGGGAGGAACTCGGTACGGACCCAGGCCAGCACGTTCCACCCTGGTGTTTCAGCTGGAGAATGCCGAGGTCGCCAACCTTATGTTCCTCCTCCCTGAGTGCGTTTGCGCCACTTCATCATGAGTTCAAGTCAACACCGTTATCTCACGTTTTCCCGCGCCACTCTCTCACACGGCGATTAACGCCGATTTTCCCTCCGCAAATCTCCGCTAAACCCCCGTTAATGACGGCAATCTCTCCCTCTCAACACACATCGTCCCGGACTGTCGCAGAGATTTGCCCAACGTCAAGACGTCAAGCGACGACAATCAGCCCGGAGACGGTTCTATCAATAATACATCTGCCGTCACGTCCCATGCCGAGGTTGGAGTGGATTTTAGCGCGCTGTTTGTGTGATGTTTGTTGACTGTAGTTATTTGATGTCAGCGGCCCTGTGTGACCCGGGGAGCGCTCCGTGTGTTCACGGCAGCGGCACAATTTATCTCAATTGTTCGTCCCGACTGTTTGCCATCGCCAAACGCTCGCCTGATGCCGTTTGTTCGTTGTTTTAGGATATTGCACATACCGTGGAGAGTTGTTGTATAAAGTTTCTTTAAGGAACTACCAGGATGTTTAAGTCGAATATCTGAGAGGTACTCCTGACACTAGGCTGGTACAGTTGTTATACCCAAGATTTTGTACGAAATCCGTGACAGATAAAAATTAACACCGTCCTTTTGAGTTAGCGATATTGACTTAAAATACCCCGTAATATTCTAAAAGCTCATTCACAACGAAATATTTTTTTCTGTGGAAAAATCAAGTCGAAGAAACAGGTTCGCAATGTTGAAAAGACATTAGTTGGATATATGTCAATAAATATATTACATAAAGAAACTTAATTACATAAAGCACTTTTGCCACATAATAAACTATTGTGTTTGTATCTTTGCGGTCGGTTAGTGTATTTTAGGATTAAAAGAATACATACAAATACACACGTTTGTATCGCCCCTCTACGTCATCTTAATTTCAATACGTTCCAATATACGTCCTTTAAAAAAACTATGCCTGTCGCATCAAGCTGTGGTAGCACGACTAAAATGAACGATTTGTCTGACAGAACATCTCGATGAAGTTTAGTACAATAGATCCTTTTGTTTGTCTGTCTCTCTGTGTACCGTTTATACAGCGCACCCTTCACGACAAACTTGTGGTACGGTCTGTCGTGTCGAGCAGGTCACGGGGTCGGGCGGCACACCTACCCGGCACGGCCGAGCAACAGAACTGGGGCGCGGGATTTTTTATTAATCGCTTTGAGCCGGGTATATAAAGGATCCGGGTTGGCCTGGTTCTGTGAGTTCTCCGACTCTCCAAGGCTCGCGACGGTCCTGTCCGAAAAAAATCCCTCCGTCGTGCGAGAACTGAGACGTCGTCCCAGACAGCGACAAACTGTATAGTGTGATGTCAACTCCGGCCTCCTTCCGTCATGCGGGCACGTTTCTATCGCTGGCGGTGATTTTGTCGTCAGGAACGCCGTCTGTCCGCGGGAGTCTGACGGCCAGTGATGAGGCGGTTCTGCTGGAGAAACATCGCGAGTTCCGCAAGGGGGTGGGTGCCGCGAATATGGAGGCTATGGTAGGTACTGACAGACAGCCTTGGCCTTAAACACATACACATGAGTTATAGTCATGCTGAAGACACTATAGATATAGATTATACGAGTTCGTCTGCTCTATGCCAATGTTCGCAATAATCCTGCCCAAAACTAATTGAGCAAGAACTGTTAGATACTGTAGAATATAATGATAGTGAGAACTATAGAGGAAAAGAGGAGCTAACAATTTCCTTTCATAAGACAGAACTACACTACATGGCAACACTGATGCGTGTTTTACCGGCACCTGTTACATGATTTTGAAGTATATCCAAACTCGAGTTAATCATACACACATGCGTGCATCGTGTGAGAGCATGACGAATCAAGGAAAGTGGAGCAAAAATCCATGTCGGTACATTTACAATAAGTCTCCCTACTCTCATATCTACATCTGTTTTGTTCAATAACTAGAGCAATAACGCCGCGTGTCCACCATTAAGTAAGTGGTAAGTGCGCGTGTGTGTAGTTTTTAACGGACGAAAGACCAGAAGCGTCCTTGAGACCGTGTGTGCATGTGTCGGTTCTCTGGGTCTTTTCAGCGATGTACGCAAGCTGGTCAAACTTGGAAGTGAACGTGTAGCGCGGCGTTCGTTTTCTTCTGCTTAGTGAGGCCAATTAGGAAAATTTGAGCACACCTGTTGATCACTTAAAGCAAATTCTTAAATTACTTAATGTATCAGAGTAAAGGTTGACTATACATGATTGTGGCTTTGAACTCGAAGTGTGGCAAAGAAACGGTACCCAACGACATCACGAATTGTTCTTCCCTCAACTTTGATACTGTTTTACAGTGTAGTAACAAGTAACAAGGGCTGAGAAGTCCAACTTCCCAGACGCACAATATGTTTCCGTACTTTTCACATCTGTCCAGTTGAAAACGGGATGCTTGTTGTAAATTAATATCTGTACACCGAATTCATAACCTTTACAATACCCGAGTGTCGGAAAAATTGTATGATGATTTTAAAAAGCGTGAAAAGGAAACGCAACTCTGTGCCCCTTATATACGCTGTTAATATAATAATCCTGTTATTTAGAAAAAAAAACATCAACGGGATTCCATTGCCTCTTTATCTTTGCCAAGTTTGCTTCATTTTTGAGAAACAAGATTCAGAAAACCTTTCAACTTCGTCACCCTGCGCGGATAGATCTTGTAACTTCACTAGCGCTAGCTTTGACGTTGTTGCTACCGACAAAAGAAACATTGTCCATGGCCTGACTCCTTCTCTGATCTACCATAAGTCAACATCACACGACAATTATAGGTCGCTAATTTCTTCAGGCATGTTGATCGCCCTTGGCACCCGATAATTATGATTGCACCAAATTTATCTCTCCGAGTTGTTTGTAATGTTAAGCCTGCCGCCGAGTCCAACGGTTATTGATCAATAAGGTACGAGCCTGAAAATCGTTATCAGGATAAAACAGCGTCAAGAACAGAAGAGTTCAATACTGGGCCCGCCGGGGAATATACGGAGTCTAGGGTAATACCAGATTATGCTGAGGGGCTATTAACTAGCTGGATTTACAGTGTATTGTGTGTCAAATCTCTTTAGTACTTTACAAATTTTCTTATACAACAAAAAGACGTTTCGGCAAATACCGACTTCTTATGCTAGACGCCGGCTTGGCTCTCATGGGCCGGCAACGACAAGAACAACAAGAGAAAGTAGTCATGTACAATATGAAAGAAAGAGTTTTGTTAGATAAAGCCTAGGTCACAATTGAAGACACAAATGTGAGCATTATACAAGATTTGACGTGTGCACAGAGAAACGCCATTCCCGTTTCAAGAAGTATTTTATTGGTAAACACAGGCGCCTGTGTGATATGGATTGACGATATGAGAAGTTTACACAAGCGCAGTTCTCATGACTCCCGGGGGGTAGAAACAATATCCGGCAATTGAATATTTCACATGACACGTACGGCGAAGGAGAAAAAAAAATGAAAAGTTCTGTATCTGATCACGCCATATGAAGTCAGACTTTCACGTGTCTTCCTTCCACTAATATTTTCTCGTTGGTAATCGTAGGACTTTGATACCCTAGAATTTGTGACCCAACCTACCACCGACAAGGTTTGCGACTGTATACGTAGGGCCATCGCCCGACGTATGCCTTTATGTAATCAGGAGGACATTTTCACAGTAGCCACATTCACACCTACGTAAACTTCCTAATCCGGTCCGGCCTAAAAATACAGAACTCCGGCCTTCAGGGTTAACATACAGAAGATAAGTGTACCCGTTTTTACTCTGACCGTGAAATAAATGATACCAATCCAATTCTTACATTCGCACTCACGTAAAGCGGTTTAATCCCTTGCCCTAAATCTACAGAACTCCAAACATCAGGTCCAACGCACGGAACACAAGGTCCCCGAGGTTCTTTTGTACGCGTGCTAGTTCCCGATTTCGCACCTACCTGTATGTAAACTCAGTAATCCCCTACCCTAAATCTACGTGACTTAAAACTTCAGGTTCAACGTCCTAAACCTATGGGTTACCTGTTTCACCCCGGCCGTGGGAGGGAAAGTCGACACACACATTTAATCCAAACCCCACGTAACCGAGATCATTACGTGATACGTTTGATTTAATTCATACAGTCGACGGAAGTGCCCATTTTTGCACCTGGTTGTTCTCAATAGACAAAGTCTCCTAAAACATTTTTCTGACTGATCCACAGACGTTGCCTTTAGTATGTTTCCTTTCCAAACGTTTGTCACAAGATGGATTCGAGGCAATCATCATTACGCGAGAACCTTGAAAACCACAAAAGTTGAAAGCTCGTTGTTACTGTAAGAATATTACCCTTGTAGCGCGCCGTGATATGTAATAATTATTACGTACACATGTCAGATCGCAGGAAGTACATGTATATCTGTCTCACTGAACATAGAGGTGCCTGTAAAGCTGGGAAAACAGCCTCTTAACGACGACCACAGCTCGAAGTGGGAAGAAAAGACAAAAATTTAAATGACACGTATTTTGGTGGGGTTCTCTCTAGCATCAATTTTTATTTTTGCCACTTAAAAATATTATACTGGTGTGATTTAAAAGTCTTAAGCGATCTCAAATCGTGATTTTAGTCCAGCATTATCAAACGAAAATATCACCCCAAAAGGGGTTACTACGAATGGTTATGTGCCAATTTAGAAGTGTTATTTAATATGGCTCCTAGCTACCGACTCAACAAAGATGACATAACCCTGTCATTGTCAAAGCTCGGCGCGGTTGCCGGTGTGTGCGTGTACGGTGATGTCATTCAGGTCAAAGAGAGCAGAGAGAATCGATGTATCTCCTCACGGCCTAATCACTGTCAACATGTCCACGGCAACAGCGACAACAAACAGTGCCACGGGAGTCAATATTTCATCAAAGAACGTCTGTGATGAGGTATTTCTAATCCCAGCGCTTATCTGAAAGCATTTCCAAATGCTGTGATAACACCGTGAACTATGTCAGGCGGCGGGGATACGAATGGGAGAGGAAAAATTTTAATGATGATATTGAGATAATATTTCTGAACAGTCTAGGTCCTCTCACAGGATCATGAGTCCACATCCTCACCTGGAACTGACACTGCGCCCCCCTCATCGGCTCATCAGTCAGAAATGAGCCTTCCGTCGCCGGAGGTTCTTGAATAGCTTTCGTTTTCGCGGAGGTAGGCCATAAAGATCAAAGAACAGACGAAAATAGCTTCTAACGCTGAACGTTTGTGTCATAGACTTGGAACAGCGAGCTGGCGACTTTAGCGCAAGCCTGGGCGGAGACCTGCACAACCAGCCATGGCGGGACGTCCGGATCGTCTGCGTTCGGAGGCGACATCGGTAAGGTCAATGCTCATTCTGGTCAACGAATAGCTAGTGAATCCTGAAGTGAATGGCTTTACCTACTGTATACACCGGGGCGTACGTACCTTACGTACGTGTATAGTGGTTCACAATACAAGTACTAGGTGAGAAACATTCTCATCATTTCGTTGAGGTATCACAGAATGGGACATATATGACGTCCCTTTTTATATGTTCTCAGACATAGCCTCAGAAAAGGACGACGCAAAACGACTTCAAAACGGCATTCCTTCACTCAGTTTGTACTTATTCCCAAAATGAATCGGGTAGTTCACTTCTGTGTAGAATATCACGTTAAGTTGATGTTATCATTCTGTAGGTCAGAACATCTACAAGACCAGCGGGTCGTCTGTCGGGGACTACAACTCGGTTGTGCAGGCGTGGTACGACGAGGTGGAGTTCTACAACTACAACAGCGCCTCCTGTCAGTCGGGACGGATGTGCACCCATTACACTCAAGTACAGTTTCATCTATACTTCTTTCGAATTCATCATTCACATCAGCCTATCAAAACGGATCAGGTTTAGGACTTGAAAAGTTTCTTTTTATGGACATACTCCCTTTTAACTATGAGATTAATTCTCAACACTAAGGTTGCTCTAGATCAACAACTTAAAAGATAACTGAGAGCCATTGGAAAAGGGTCAATGTTTGAACGCTCAAGGATCTCTGAAAGGTGTCGCACTTACTTTAATTCCTGGTGTCCCTGCTGCAGCTTGTGTGGGCGGAGTCTGAGGCTGTGGGCTGCGGGGCGCACACGTGCAGCGGGGACGGGACGTACGTGGTCTGCAACTACGGCCCTGGGTAAGGACATCAGCCTAGGTCTTAATTGTCTCATTCTCTGTCTTGTACATTCAGCTGACATACAAAGCTATCACTTCGTGACTGATGAGTTATCGCTATCACAAACTGAACGCATTCTTGCTTTTGCACTTCTTTAATCTAGCTAGAAGAAAATGCTGTTTTGCCTTTTGGTAGTAGAATGTGACCCCCCCCCCACTTTTCTGCTTCAGCAAAAATGCAAAGATTGTAATATGTACACGGCTATATAGAGTGCCTTACTTTAAACGTTATTTCCTGTCCAGGGGTAACGCTGCAGGTACGAAGCCGTTCAAAACGGGCCAGCCGTGTTCCCTGTGCGGCAGAGGAGCGGGGTGGTGCGAGGACGACTTCTGTGGTAAGTACAACTGCACCGTACTGCATGTTGGCATGGAATAGCCTAGTAACTGTACGAGATATGTGCAATATTTGCGTGTATGATGCTTATCATTTACAGACTGGGATTTCATCCTGTTCATCTTGCATACGCTAGTGGATGCTTAAGTTAACGTCCTTCCTTTTCTCTTGCAGTTGACTGTCCAGCAAAGAACTGCAGTGAGTAACATTTCATTTAGTACGAGAGAAAAAGGTGACAGTGTTAGATTGTTCGAAGTGCCTCTTCTTAAATACTTTCATAGGTAGGGAGGTAGAAAAAGTACTACTAGCTTTTAGCCTTGTTATTCAGCACCAAGGAGAGAACCACTTATGGTGCTCTCCTTGGTGCTGGGTACAGAATCATACGTCAATGGAGCCTTCTCATTACTTCTGTTAGATCACACCAGAGCCAAAACAGGCATCATAAAGTTCTGTCTTAAAAAGCCATAAAAAATAAAAAAGAATTAAAAAATGACAACATCTAAAACTCTCCTGTTCTAGCCTGTCCCATGGAGTGCCGTAACTGTGGTGTGAAGGACGCGGCGGAGTGCCAGTGTGGCTGTAAGGACGGCTGGGACGGACTGGACTGCTCTGGTGAATCCAGTATTTGATAATTCGCTAGCATAAAGGCCCATCTAACACAATTTGAAGCTAAACGTGAACCTTCGATGCAAAGCAACGCTGAGAAACAACTTTATTTTCAGCTCACGAATGCGCCTCTTTGAATAGACGGGGACAATACAGATTCCAAACAATCTTTACTCAATACTAGTATGTAGTAGTTTTGCATTTGTAAAATCAAGCCATTAATGTCTAGGAAAGTCATTGTGACGTTTAGAGGATGCTGTGAATTTTTTACGGTCCGTGTCTCTGTTTGCCGTCCAGTGGTGTGTAGAGACTGGCACAAGAACTGCGGTAAGAGTCCCGGCTGGCCCACCACACAGTACTGCACAGACGCCACCGTCGGGGAGGTAGTCACCGCGCAGTGCAGGGTGCTCTGCCAACAGTGCGGTAAGTTCCAAATTTAAACGTTATCTACTGAACTGTAGACACCGCGTCCAAGATAGTACAGCTCTCGCAATGTTTTTTTTTTACTTATGAAGGTGTTACATTTCCTGTATTTTGATATGAGTTTACAGTAACCAGAAACTGAGATATTTTTGGTAGTCTAGCTCTGTCGGTAACAACAAACATGCTATACTGCTAAACTGGATCACTACTCATCGTGCACAAAAGGGCATTAAAGGCAGTAAAGTAAAATCAAAACGTACAAAATGGTAGTTTTAGATGAAAGCATGTACTCATTATGTCTTTTCTCCAGACGTTGTAACAGACACCTGGGGGCCGGACGTGTGCTGTGAAGGGAAGCTGTGTGAGAACAGCGGCTACCTGAACACCACACAGGACGACTGCGGCTGCGTATGTCCGGAGGGCTACACGGGGGACAACTGTGGTAACTATGTTGTCCTTTTCCTACGCAGAGGAAGACCTGCACTACCCAAATAAAAAAAGTCCACAAAAGCCATCGCTTTCCTCCATGGCTTCGTAGGAAAGCTTGGCAATGGCTAAGCTTGACCTTGCAACACCGTTAGAGTTTGTACTTTTGGAACCGCATTTCTGGTTATTTTATCCAGCAGCACTTTTTTTTATCCAGCTCTAGTTTGAGACACTATTTTGTTGTCTTTTCTAACAGAACTTGTCACGTTCATTTATTTCAGAGAACGGAGCAACTGCAGTTCCGGTCATGTCCGCAACGTGGAACCTTGGATTGCTGTTTCTGTTGATGTTGCTGAACTAATTAATAAGACAGTGGATGACGCGCTGAAATTCGAAAATCTTGTCGCTTGTACTTATATTTCAGTCCATACCATGGTATGGATGAAATATATTGTGTTCCCTCATGTTTCTCCTTCTCCTCCTTCTCCTCCTCCTGCCAAACAGTCAAAGGGATTCAACTCCGCCATCATTCAGCCAAATGACCTGAAATTTGGCATGGAGGTAGAGTGGGCCAATACCCCCAGACGTTTTTTTCATTTTTTTGAAACATGCCTTTGAAAAATTTTTATGAAGGTTTTTTGGGGCATTTTTCGACAAAAAATGGATTTTTGGATCCTGAGCCCTGGTATTACAACCAAATGATCTAAAATTCGGTATAAGGGTACCTTGAACGTGTGTCTACAGAATAGCAGTCATGTATTTGGCATACACCACTTCCAAATGACTCATTTGGGGGACTTTAATGGCTATTTTCAGCAAAAAAGGGCCAAAAGTGCTATACCCGTTCCATGTTCTATCTAAAGAATGTCCGGTTCCATCCATGGAACACGTGTTCTATTGCGGGTTACCTGAGGTCACGTTGCACCTAAGTGGTGCGTAATGACCCACACATTCAATTTTATGTGCCTAAGACCTTCAAAATGTATCAAATCTCATCATTGTTAGTTTTTGCATACCTGTAATAAGATTAGTAAAGCTTTTCGAGATTCAAAGTACTTGTTGTTGCATCTTTGTTCTCACTATTTAATTCATTTATTTGAGAACCTTTGCCAGTTTTGCACTGGGGTAAGTTTGGAATAGTCCACTTTTGCGTGGGAGGGAGATGGACTGAAATATGCTGTATTTGCTCCCAAGCAAATGTCAGCCTTTCTAGTTTTATATCAACCTGCTGCTTTTACATCAATTGCTGCTATTTAAGATTTCCTGTATCTGAAATAATGAAAAGGGCAAATACGCTCTAAGTGCCTTTAATCATTTACGCTTAAGTATCGCTGCAGTTTTTGTTGGTCACGTTACGTTGTTCGTTTTCGGTTACTGCCTATGGGTCGTATCTGGAACATTTGAGATGTTGTCAAACTCGATTGGTTAACTTTGTATGTTGAATACTGTGACAAACTATACATGGGGCTTCGTAAAATTTTCCGAAACATGTGTAACTTTGTACAAACATCAGATTGAGCAGACGCCTGATGATGCGTTTTTATTATATGTCAACTTGTCCTTTTATTTTACAAAAGAATGGCTCAGATTTCTGTGGGATAAAACAAACATATCTAAGACTATCCATAATTGCAGTCTTGTTGTATCTTTATGACGTCTACTGTTGTACTGAATCTGTTGAGAATGAACGCCATGTCTGTAAAGTTACGTATTTTATGGTTGATTAAAGATGGAGCTTTATTGACACGACATACTTGTATGCTGTAGAAAATTCATATAGAGCTTCGTTCATCTGTAAACAAAGCAGTTTGGTTGAACAGAAGAATCATGTGCAATTCTAACTAATATTAATTAATCATAACGTTAAGTCAAGTAATATCTCCAGAAATTTATTTGGAAGTTAGCAAAAAAACAGCACAAATGCCAAATTTTCGAGAGTAAAATACGGCGAAATAACTTTTTAAACAATGGCACGGATAAAGTAAAAGATGCATCATATCCAGTTGCTTAAGTACCGTAAACTGCTTTTTGGCGTATCTGTTACCTGGATGTCTAACCTTCATTGACGTAAAAGATGCATAGTTATGATAGTAAATCACCGTTTCAGGATAGATAACGTGACACCCTTCAATCAATTAATCAATCGGTCGATCGATCAATATATCAACGTCTGATATCGATGAAGACATCCCCGTTTATTGGGGTAATAAAACGTGGTGTGCAGACTAAAAGCGTCCCCTAGCGGCTCTCCTCATACGGACTTCGTCAGGTCATATACTGTACAGTACACATTTGGATTGTGGGTAAAATCCAATATGGCGCAGCTCCTGAATCGATTCCGGGCGGCGAGGCGAAAAGATTCGGAAGAACAGGTACGTGAGCTCACACACGCCTCTGAAACACTTAAAGTGATTTTCTGAAGTACGACAGAGATCACGGCAGTTGTTGATGAGTGTTAAAGTTGTTGTCGTTTGTTTTTTTTAGACGCGGGAAAGCAGCGCTCCTCCCGCGCCCGGCCCCTCCCCCGAAGACGAATGCTCGGTATGTAAACATTATCATGTGATTTCCTTTTACCACGTTGTGCCGTGTACGATCTTGTGTTTCCTCTACATGTCAAGACAGTTATGGCTCAATTCTACCTCGTGTGACTGTACCGTAAGCTTTCTGGTGAAGCGCAAAGTTAAGTTAACTTGTCAGAAATGGTGGATCTTTCCTAAATCCGGAAGTCATCCTCCGCTGGGATGTACCATGTGACAGGAGGGGTACAATGTTTAATATCTAAACGGCAGATGTTGCATCTGTGACGTCAACAGTGTCCCTGACTTCCGTTCTTAAGATCTACGTGTATTCTGTACCCTACTTTATCAAAGCATTCTAAGTTAATGCATCGCCTTTGCATGTATCCATGCATACTTAATCATTAATCCATTGTTTATTTTCCAGGTCATAAAACAGTATCATAGCCATTGTCAACACTTGTGATTTATGATATTCAATCTACACTGGACAATTGTTTGAATGTTGTTTTTCAAAATTTATATGTGCAATTCTAGTTGAGATGGATTGGGAAAAGTTATTTTGTTGCAGGATATGACATTATGGCAACACAATGTGCAAGAAAGGAAAAGAACTTCTTCCCAGCTTTTGGCTTTGCAGCAGTACTGAAGAAATCACAAGTTGTTAACACTTACATTACAAGGTTTCATCTGCATGTAAATTGTTATAGCTTTCAGATATGCAGTACAAAATATAAGTGATGACATTTACTGCCGGGACCCCATAACATCAATGAGGGTTAGACAACCAGGTAGAACATTACCTAATACATGTGTACAAAATACATCTAGCAACAGGATAAATTTATTGAACCATTAAATGTTTCAGATAGCATCTACTACTAAAAGTATCTTTCATCCTTGATAATTGAGGCTCATTGTACCATTAAACTGTAGGCTTCATCATAAACTATATTGCAGGGGTTCATCTGCCCTATTTGCCTGTTGGCGCTCTCCTCACCAGAAGAGCTGCAGGCTCACTATGAACAGCAGCACACTGAGGAGACAGCAGGGGACACTGAGAACTCCTCACACGACGCAGTAGGTCACTTCTGTAGGACGTAGGACTTCAGTAGTGCCTCACAATGCTCTTAAGTTTGTTTCAAGCTTTTACAGGGGTGCAGTTGCTTTGGAAAAAAATGAGTGGTGTGATTCATTTGGCCTTACTTGGGGTTCAACTTTATTTCATCATCTTCCTGGCTGTTTGTTTGTGTTTCAGCTGTCGTGGATGTGGAGGTCATCATTGCTCTCCATTGTCTGTTACTGTGTCCGGTGTTTGGTTTTCTAACTTTGTTCAACTTCTTCACTTTCCCAGCTCTTTCCCTTTGCTGTCAAGTCATGCTTATCTGTTCTCTTCCAAGAGTTTTTTTGTCCTTCTTTTGCTGATGCCATCCAGCTTAGAGCCTTCCTGGTAAATACAGCTTCTACATTCCTATGATAAGTACAAGCTCAGGGGAAGCTCAGTGTGTCAATGCTTTTCAATCACTTTTTACAGGGGTTCATCTGTCCGATGTGTTTGCTGGCTCTGCCCTCCCCAGAAGAGCTTCAGTCTCACTATGAACAGTACCACGCTACAGGAGACACTGACAACTCTGCACCAAAACAACAGGTAACAGCACAGCACACTGTTTGACTTCTTTTATAATCATACTGATTAATATGTCCTTTTCCACTAAGGAAAGGCTTTGACAAGGGGTTATTTATTCACCAATTTGTTGGTTTGTGCAGTTTTTAACAGGGCCAGTAACTTCAATACATTCAATGATTTATGCAGAAGTTATGTGATTTTCTTTCTGCCAGCCACAGGCCGACCCCCAGGCTGACATGGTCAAACAGCAGCTGAAGGAATCAGAGGAGAACAGATCACTCAGTAGGTTCTTACAGATATGTAGCTGCTGTTTATGATTCGAATGCTGACTCAACCCCAGAACCAAGTGTTCTGGTAGATATTACATGTATTTTTCTGAATCACAAAAGCACTGCCCCATATACTACATGTACATGGTGTGAGAAGGACCTTAACTTGTCCCTCCCTCCCCCAGTCCAGTCAGAAGTGGTTCTGCTGAGGAAGCAGCTGGCTGATGCCATCGAGAGTTCCATCACAGCCAGGAGGGAGAAGGAGACCTTGGAACAAAAGGCTGCAGCAATGGTGGGACTTTTCTGTCAATCATACTTTAACCTTCACACTGCTGAAGTAGCCTTTTGGTAACAAGGTTAACACATGTTACAGCATTAGGGAGTAGAGTAAAGGCTGAAATATCCATGATTCTTTGTGTTTATCAAGTTAATAGTTTGTGGAAGGTTGTCACAGAATTTATCCCTGGGTACTGCATCTACAGCCCAAGAAACATCCTGTACCTGCAGTCAGTCTTTCTTCAGTTTGTACTGCTGTGTCCTCTGATGCCTCTTGTTTAGAAGTTCCTGCTACAGAGTACAGAGTCAGGTTGACATGTTGACTGTGATGTTTCCAGGCTCGAGAGAAGGTGCAGCTGCAGTCCAGGGTGGATGAGGAGACAGGGATGAGGATGGGCTTACAGGAACAGGTGGCCACTCTACAGGTAAATGAGTGTATATGAGTGTTTTATAGATGTTCAGAGGTGTTTCTATATCCACCTCAATGCTATTGCTGGGGAAAAGTTTCAAAAAACTTTTTTCTTATCAAGATATAAAGATGCATTGACAAATTTGAAACAACTTGCATTTTTGTTTCGATCCAGAACCAAGTCAAGGAAAAGACTACCTGGGCTCAGAGTTTGGAGTCACAACTTCAACAAAGGTAAGTGAAGTAAAGTTGTACAAATCTTGTGAATCTACTTAAGTCTGATACCTCCAGTTCTTCCTTTCTTAGATTGATTTGGCCGTATGACCCTGATGTGTTTCTCTCTGAACTGACTCATTCATTCTTTCCTTCCCCCCCCCCCCCCCAGACCCGGTGCAGATGATGTCCTGGTCCTGCGGAGAGAGTTGGTGAATGCTCAGCAGCTGATGGACAAGTTAACTCTGGAACAGGAGGAGGAGAAGAACAAGTTAAAGGATGAGTGTGTGGAACTACAGTCTAAGAACACAGAGTAAGGCTCAAGAATCATCTATAGTCTTAAGTAGATGTGTATCATGGTATTTATTGAAACTTTGTTCTGTTTAGTTAGATTAGTTTTACTTTGCTTTTACTTAAGGTTTTCTCATTTTTTAATTTTTGAACGTGTGAGTCATGAACCTGCATAATTTCACATTGATTTCTTTCTATTGTTTTCTTTTCTTTTGTTTCTTAGGTTAGAAAAGTCTGTGAATGATATGAGGACAGAACTAGACAAGGCACCAAAATCAGAAGACATGGAGAGGTGTGTTTCACCACTACAACTTGCCAACTCAACTTAATGATGTCTTAGCTAAATTAGCTGTCAACCTGGAACTGTTTGAATGTTCCATTTTCTAGAATAAGAATACCCAAAGGAGGAAAATTTCTATATTTGAATATTGATGTTGTTAATATTGCACCATTCTCAAGCACATACAGTATTTATTCTCTTGAAGTTACCATAAGAGATCTCTTTTGTCAATAACCATCATGTTATTTGCAGATTACAGCAAACATCTGGGGAGGTCAGCCAATTGTCAGAACAGCTTAAGCAATTGCAGGGGGAGAAGTCCTCATTAACAGATCAGCTGAAGAAGGTCAGGTGATAGTTCTATATGTATTGTACGTTATTATAAATATTTTTTGTATTTCAGTACCTTTGACAAGTTTGTTGTACCAAGTTCTAAAGATCCACCAAAGATTTGGCGGAGAACACCTTGAAGACTTCTTCAATTTTACTTCATTTTTCCTTCTTAGACTGAGAGCTCCTTGAAGGAAAAGGAGACAGCCTGTACCAAGTTGGACCAACAGATGAAGGAGTGGCAACAGAAGCATCAGGAGCTGCTCAGCGCCTCCAGCCAGGGGACACAGGAACTACAGCTCAAGCTCAAGCAGGTACTCAGCTCTTGGGTCCCGTACAAAAAAGACAAAAAAGAAACCTACAAATAAGGATCATTTGCGAAGGGAAATCAGGGGAAAAGAATGAAGAAGAATGGAATAACAGAAATAAATAACAGAACAATATAATATTATATAATCTAATTGTATGTAAGTTCCTAAGTGAAGCCATTGCAATGTCACTGTTTAAAAGACAGAGACTAAATGCAACATTTGTGTTCCCAGTGGGAGGACCAGTGCCACCAGAAGGAGAGTGAAGTGGAGAACCTACAGAAGCAAGTAGATGACCTACATGTGCGCTACCAACAGGAGGTGAGCTTTTAGACTGACTTAAGTCTACTAAGAAGCTTTATTCCATTGAACGTTGTAACAGGAAGCTTTGAACTGGAGAAAGATATTGCAATGATTGTGTTTCTCTTTTCCAGGTGTCAGCAGGTGATGAGTTGAAGGTACAGGTGAGGAAGAGACAGGCACAGCTGGAGGAGCAGACAAGACACCTGCAGACCAAGTAAGTTTGGAAGAAGTCCTTGTATGCCTAGACAGACCTTAATGCTACCCTTAATTTTTCTTGGTAGAACATATATGCAATGGCTTGTATTGAAAGGCTCATACTTCCATACATGGACTCTCAGACATTTAGGCTGTGGTTAGTCACATCAGAGCTACAGTGTGAGACACAGAGGCTCCAGCTGAAGTCATAGTGTAAGGCACTTGACCAATACACTTCCTGTTCCACCCAGGGAAGCCCACAGTCAGCAGCAGGACGCCAGCATGCAGGAGTTGAAGGACCAGATTGGCAGGCTGGAGGTGGAGAGGACTGACCTCATGGAGAAGGTGGGGACAAGCTTGTAAAGAATCACAAACTAAACAAAGTATACATGTACAGTTATGCATTTGAAAAGTTCTCAACATATACACTTATACTATCATTATGTATAGTTTGCTGAACATTATCTGTTTTGTTCATTGCAACAACAATTCTTTTGTAATTTGTCACAGATCCAGGCTGGGGAGGGGGAGGCTACTGCGATCACACAACTACAGCAACAGAATGTGAGTTACCACACATCACACACATGTGATTTCCCCTCTCTTTTTGACATCATTTTCCCACCATGTAACGCAAGGTTACCAGTTTACGTGCAGGACCAGTTTACGGTCAGTTAGTGACACGACCACACTTCGAGGTGTACCAGCCAAAAATCAACGGTCGTGAGCAACAAAGAATAACATGAATATGATCCTTATATGTGTCTTTTATTTATTCACTGGATGGGAATAAGTTTGCATTCAGCGACACAGCAGAGTATCTTTCGATATGACGGGACAGCAAGGTAACATGGACTTGGACGCATGTTGTGTTTTTCACATAATACAATACTCAACATTTCGTCAATTTTTTTAAAATCCCAAGAATGCTAGGAAATTGAAACAATAGCTGGCATCAAACCTGGCTTTCTTATCTCAATCATCCATGGTGTTCTGAGGTATGAAACTTTCAAACACCTTGATATAAATGAGCAAAAGTACAGCGACAGTTGTCGCCGACTAGCGTTTTTCGAACGCCATTTTAATCATCATCATCGTTGCATCAGGTGACGTCACCGTTTTGAACTGCAGAAAGGTTTGTAAAAGTCGCACTGTGGCGCTGTTGCACATTAATTTATGCAAAAATGCCAAAATGGCTTCCTGCGTCCGTAGCGAAAAGTTTGCTTGGGTTTTCACGACGTTCCGTTTTGTCTGGAGGGGCATAGACGCTTGTTATCTATTGCAACGGTTTTATGGAACATCTTGGGCCATTATGTCACGTTCTACTGAGGGAAAAATGCAGGTCCAGCCTCATTTAGCACCACAGCGCTACTGCATGCGACAGTGGGCTACACACTGACATTTTACCGTGGTTTGTTGTTGACCACTTCGGTATTTTTTTGCAGAAAGTGTTTGTTTATGTGCGCTTATAAGTAGAGCACTACAAGGACAAAGGTCCAAGTGACCGTTAATTGGTCACCCTAGAGCAATTCTCCACTGTTAACTACTAAATGAATAAAAGCTGACACGGCACAAAAAACGCAGGGAAGAAATGACACGGCACACACTTTTAATAACCGACGAACTACTGTTTCTTCACATGGATTAAATATTTAGTTCTGCCCATGCGTTTTCACAAAAAATGTAATTTTCCATAATTCGACCGTAAACTGGTAACCTTGCGTTATTGTACATATCTGACTTGCAGGCAGTTGTACGTACAAACTCTTGAGTTTAAGTTTGACTGGTGTATGCCTCTGTATGTTCCAGGCTGCCCTGCAGAAGCAGCTACAGTCAAGTCAAGAGGCAGCAGGTGTACAGGTGAAGGACCTGGAGACACAGATGGACACCCTGCACTCCCAACTGGCACAGGTAGGGGGAGCTATTGTATGGTGTCATTCTCTTTTGAATAGAATCGAAAATGGATAACATTGAAAGTTAGGTGTGTACTGCATGTGTGAATCATGTTCAGCACCAAGGACAGGTGTGTTTTGCGTGTTTGGATGGTGTTCAGCACCAAGGACAGGTGAGTACTTTATGTATGGATAGTGTTTGGCACCAAGGACAGGGCTATACTGCATGTATGTATAGTCTTCAGCACCAAGGACAGGTGTGTACTGCATGTATGGATAGTGTTCAGCACCAAGGACAGGGCTATACTGCATGTATGTATAGTCTTCAGCACCAAGGACAGATTGCATGTATATTTAGTGTTCAGCACTCCCAAACTTTCCCCATATCACAGACCAAGAGTGATGTAGAGGCAGCCAACGACAGATGTACCAAGCTGGACACAACTCTACAGGACACAAACACCAAACTTACAGCAGCCAAGGAGAAAACTGCTGAACTGGAGGCAGAGCTCAAGAACAAGGTCTGTAGCATTTTCTAAGCAAACAGAGTGAACAGAGCTGAATATGCATTTACGTTCAAGATTACAGCAATTTCAATAAACTGAATTCTGTATCTTTTGAGCCAGCAAGCTGTTTACATCATGGTTGTGGCTTTTTTTTGTAAACCTTTGACATAATTTGGAACCTAGCTTTTATGTGATCAAGACACCCTCCAGTATGCCAGATTTTGGTAACTGCTAACAGTCACTAATTATGCTGAATGTAGCACATGCTGTAAGCATGTTGGTAAATGCTTTTTGTACCATTACTTTAATTTACTAACATTGGTTATGGTTGTCTCCTGGTGCAGGGTGACTTACTGGCCGCCTCTGAGGCAGCGAAGGCCGCCCAGCGTACGGACCTCGAGGGTCACCTGACCACAGCACGGGCCGCGCTACAGGAGAAAACACAGGAGCTAACGCAGGTCAAAGGTCAGGCTGAGGAGGTACGAAAAAAATCTGATTGCTTCAGTGTAACATGTAGTGTCAAGTGATGCAGTTGTAATATTTTGCATTCTGAATGTCCTTTGCTTTATGGCCTTTCTTGCGAGTATATGTTAACTCTTTGTGTTCCTGTAGACCGTGTCCCAGCTGAGTACAGCACGGGAGCAGGTCAGCCGATTGGAGGTCAGTCTGAGTGAGATGAAGGACAGGCTGGGGGCAGAACAGCAGAGAGCAAAACAGCTGGACTCAGACCTGGCACAGAAGGTAGGAGCACAAGTGTTTACTTTTTACTTTGAGAAAATGTAAAGATTTCATAACTAGATGATGTGTCTTAGCTCTCCCATAGTATAAAAAGTGACAATTTTTTTGTGTGTAAATCCAGACCAAATCCTTGTCAGAGGCAGAACAGCTGAAGGGGAAGACTCAGGTGGAGCTGGACAGCACCAGACAGCTGCTGGAGGATAGGAACAGCCAGCTGACTAACCTTCAGCAACAACTGGAACAGGTAGGGAGCGCACCACTCACAGTCCACAATGTACAAGTTGACCGACAAAGTTTTCAAATGAAAACATACCAATAGTTGATAGGTTGCCATTTTATCCTTGTGGGTTGATGACACATGCGTATCATTGTTCAGGTGAAGTCGGAAGGTAATGCAGAGAAGACCAGGTTACAGGAGCAGCTGTCACTGGCACAGACAGTTAGGGAACAGCTGCAGAAGGACATCCAGGAAAAGGTACAGTTTTTCAACATTGTACTCTGTTGTCTCTGAAACATATCTCCATTTGTTAGAGTGATAAAATAGGAGTGCAGTCTAGTTGTCTCCGCATTCCCTCGTATGTCAGCCTTCAGTGGAATGACATAAGGTGTAGTGGGCCTGACCACCCCCATTTCTCACTTGGTAGCTCCCAGAATGAAACTCCCATGATTCCTTGCTGCGCATGCGCACTGGTCAGTCTTTATTTTTTGAGCCTCTGGCAACACACCCCCGGTGTTTTTCTCTTGGTAAAATGGGCTCGAAGCGCGAGGACAGACGACGCAAGAGTTCAAGAGCTCCCGAAGAGCGGGAGGAGCGCGCGCGCTCCTCCTCGAGGCACGCCAGCCGCAAGAGGACGGCGTCCAGAACCGAGCACATGGCGCCCCCCTCCCCACCTGGGGGCGGCCATGATAGTTCTTCACAACATTCACAGCCGCCCAAGTTGCGGCCTGTTACGGCCCCGGGCGACGACGTGGACTCCACGGCGGGCGGAATCGAGTCTGAAGAACTTCATGAGGGAGAGAAAGGCACACGTGTCGACTCTCAACTCGAGAAGAAGAGCGAGGAAGTAGTCTTTTTGGAGACTCAAGAGAAGAATGGTGACAGCAGTGCCGTACGTATATCTGCCTTAGAGCAGAATTTCTCTTTGCTTTCAGATAAGCTGGACGGACTTCAAGAACTGCTGGTCAACCAACTGACGTCTTCAGAACCCTCGAGGAAGCGGCGAGCTTCGACTGGCGAGGGAACGGTTGCAGAGAAGCGGCAGCGCTTCACAGCTCAGCCGGAAGAAGGGGAGGGGGGCGGCAGCACCTTTCCCGACGACAACGCGTCATCCGACGATGGCGGCGATGGCTTCAGCGCCCTAGAGCCGTTTGACCCGACAGCCAACAAGGCCAAGGAGCCCTGGGAGGCCGATGATATTGTCATTCGGTTCTCCGAGAAGTACTTCAAGCACGAGAACCAGTGCAGGGGAGAGGCTCTAGAGAGCTGGCAGAAGATGCATGACTGGCCAGACAACAAGCCGGACAACATGGTGGCACCGGTCCTGAACGATTTCTTGTCCCGTGCTGTCATCGAGAACGACAAAAAGCAGGGTGAGGTGATCGTTTCTCGCGATAAAGCATTGAAAGGAGTACAATCTAATCTTGTACAAGTGGCTTGCCCTTTAATGAATCTTTGGCAACTCATTCAACGTTGTGACAAGGATAGTTTTGAAGAGTTTCAAGTGACAATGAATGATTGTGCTAGTTCAGCCATGGCACTTCTGGGATCAGTGAATTCACAGTTGTCATTCACCCGACGTTCCTTTGTGTCCGAGTCTTCTCAGAAGAAGTTCAGAGACATCTTCAAGAAGCCTTCAGATGATCCCCAGTACCTGTTTCCACCAGATCTGGGTTCTAAGGCTAAAGAGATGGCTTCAGAGGACAAGGCCGTCTCCGGGCTGCTGCAGAAGGAGGGGTCGACCAACAAGGCTTCAGAGTCATCCCAGAACTTCCGTCGAGGCGGCGGTGCCGGTTCAGGCGGTAACAGGGGAAGGAACACACGTTACTTTCCCAGAACCAACTACAGCTATGCAGGCAGCAGCTACCAGTCACGTCCATCTTACTACAACTCATCCCGGTCCTTTCGCTCCAAGCCGGCGGGGGACGGGAAGCGACAACAGAAGAAGTAAGCACCCCATCTACTACAGAGAGCGGGGCCCGGCGTTCGACCGAACTGCAAAGTGTACCTCATCCGTCTCCGCTGCCTCATGCCGGCAGGTTAGCCCACTTCCTTCATCAGTGGCAGCAGGTGACTACGGATCCTTGGATCCTTCAATGTGTACAGGGGTACAAGTTGGAGTTTGCGACAACGCCGCCAATTCAGGGACGTCTTCCACTGTCCCGACCGAGAGACGACGCACAAGCGGCAGTCATAGACGAGGAGGTAAGAACCTTACTCACCAAGGGAGCAGTTACAGAAGTTCCCTACCATCACACACAGTTTGTTTCAACTTTGTTCACAGTACCCAAGAAGACAGGGGGTCTTCGACCGGTCATCAATTTGAAACCCTTAAACAAGTTTCTTCACAAGCAACGCTTCAAGATGGAGAGTCTTCGCCTCATCAAACATCTAGTGCGGCCAGGGGATTACATGGCCAAACTAGACCTGACAGACGCATACTTTACCATCCCAGTTCACAGAGACGATCGCAAGTATCTGACGTTTCACTGGAGAGGAAGATTCTACCAGTTTCAGTGCCTACCCTTCGGCATCGCCACCGCACCTCGTGTCTTCACCAAGGTGATGAAGGTACCCATCGCACTTCTGCGTCGGCGAGGGTTTCGTCTGGTAGTGTATCTGGACGATATTCTAGTGATCGCTCACTCAAGAGAGATGTGTCGGAAGGTGCTTCAAGCATGCAGCCATCGATCTGATCTCCAGTATGGGATTCGTACCCAACTTATCCAAGTCGGTACTGGAACCAACTCAGCGTATCACCTTCCTCGGCTCAGGCATCGATTCAACATTGATGGTGATGTACCTTCCCGAGGACAAGGTGTCAGCTATACAGCAGATGGCAGACACACTTCTGTCAACAGACTGCCCGGTGTCAGCAAGAGATCTTGCAGGGATCATCGGGAAGCTACAAGCCACAGCACCGTCGGTCTGGCACGCTCCACTTCACTTCCGGAATCTTCACCGTCTGCTTATCAGAGCTCTGCGAACGTCAAGAGGTCACTGGGAAGGTCAAGTCTCCTTGACAGCAGCCGCCCGCACGGATCTGGTCTGGTGGAGAGACCAGTTGGCCAACGCGAACAGCCGACCGATTCTCGCTCCCTCAGCGGACTTGGAGGTGGAATCGGATGCGTCAGGTACAGGTTGGGGCGGCTTCTGCAATGGCGTCCACACCGGAGGCCGTTGGACAGAGAGAGAGAGCAGAGCTCACATCAACGTCCTAGAACTTCAGGCAGCGTCGATGACAGTACGCGCCTTCTGCAAGGACATCGAGAATGGTCACGTGAGAGTTCACTCGGACAACTCTACTGTGGTGGCATACCTGAACAGGCTGGGCGGCACACGGTCGCTCGCTCTACTGAACGCCACGCTGGATCTTTGGCAGTGGTGCGCCGACAGGAACCTGTCTCTATCAGCGAAACACATCGCAGGCAGGGAGAACATTCGAGCAGATTTTTGCTCTCGACATTTTTCCGTAGCAACGGAGTGGTCTCTGGAACGGAATACGTTCCTGAGCCTTCAGGCAACGTTTCCACTACTCAGTCAGGGGGTGGATCTGTTCGCCAGCAGAACCAACCGACAACTGGAGCAGTACGTGTCGTGGCATCCAGAAGCGGAAGCCATGGGAACAGACGCCTTCACACTACGGTGGAACGAGTGGGAACTAGCGTACGCATTTCCCCCCTTCAAGCTGATCCCGCCAACACTGCAGAAAGTGCGGGAGGACAGAGCTCAGGTAATCCTGATAGCACCAGTGTGGGACACTGCGGTATGGTATCCCGTTCTACTAGAAATGGTGGTGGAAGAACCGATCCTCCTACCCCAGCACGAGCATCTCCTGATCCAGGTAGAGTCTGGGCTGCCGCACCCAGAGGGCAGCAAGCTGCAACTAGCCGCATGGCATGTTTGCGGAGACAACATGCGGTGTACGGCTTTTCGACAAAGGTTAGCCGAATTCTACTGGCATCATGGAGGGCAGGAACACAGCGTCAATATTCCTCGGCCTGGGACAAGTGGAGTAGCTGGTGCCGTGGACGGGATCTTGATCCCGTTTGTGCTCCTCTGAGTCAAGTGTTAGAGTTTCTGTTATCTCAACATGAGAGAGGGCTCCAGTACCGCACAGTGAACGTGTACAGATCAGCCATCTCGTCCACACATCTTCCCCTGGAAGGTCGTCCGCTAGGGGAACATCCTTTGATGCGCAGGTTTATGAAAGGTCTGTTTGAATTGCGACCTCCTTTACCCAAGTATTCGTTCACTTGGGATGTCAGGCAAGTGTTGGACTTCTTGCGCCGCTGGTCCCCGGCCAACTCCTTATCTCTTCGTCAGCTAACACTGAAGCTGGCTATGTTAGTGGCACTGGTATCAGCAGGAAGGGAGCAGACACTTTCGTTCCTGGATGTAAAGCTGAAACGAAGAATTCCAGGAGGAGTTTGTTTCCGAGTAGAGAAGCTGACAAAGACTTCTCGTCCGGGCAGTGTGATTCAGGAGATCATTGTGCCCAAGTTTGAAGAGGACCGTAGGTTGTGCCCAGTTCGATATTTGAAAGTGTATTTATCAAGAACTCGGAGTTTTAGGTTATGTGATAGTTTTTTGTTTCGTGCCCTGGTGGAACCGCACCAGGCAGTTACGTCAGCAACTATAGCTAGATGGCTGAAGAGCGTCTTAAAGGAAGCAGGAATAGACACACGTCAATTCACAGGACACTCGACACGCAGTGCATCTACTTCAGCAGCCCAGCTGCAGGGAGTATCTACCAAAGCATCATGAGGACAGCCAATTGGTCGTCTTGCAGTACGTGGGAGAGATTCTACAAGAAGCCTGTGGTGAGCAACAACTTTGGGCGAAGTCTCCTGGCCTCAGGCTACAAAGGCACCTTATGTCATTCCACTGAAGGCTGACATACGAGGGAATGCGGAGACAAATGAGAATTGTACGAACTGACCTGTCAGTGATGGACAGGTTCAGTTGTCTCCGCATCCCTCTAGGTCAGCCTCCCTCCCTGTCAGATCATCCTAGAAGTCTGGTGGATGAAGCCCTCCCGAGTACACTTCGGCCAGGAGTCTCTACAAACAGAAGACTGACCAGTGCGCATGCGCAGCAAGGAATCATGGGAGTTTCATTCTGGGAGCTACCAAGTGAGAAATGGGGGTGGTCAGGCCCACTACACCTTATGTCATTCCACTGAAGGCTGACCTAGAGGGATGCGGAGACAACTGAACCTGTCCATCACTGACAGGTCAGTTCGTACAATTCTCATTTGTACTGTACAATTGATGTGTGTTTCAGGTGTCTGCAGCTGACAAGGTGGCAGAGAAGCTGAAAGAACAGCTGGAAGAGAAGATGTTACTGGAGAAAGACTTGCTGCAACAAATCCAGGTGTGTAAGTCTCACTTGTCCTCCCAGAAGTCTTGCCATAGGATTGTCCCTTAAGATAAGAATGAGAACCTAGCCTTAGTTTGGGATATCCCTTAGAAGGAACATAAATCAGAGGTCTGGTGTTTGAAGAGAGCTGCACCTCAAGCACATTTAAGAACCCATCACACTTTTTGATAAGATCCAAGTCTTCTGTTAACAATGAAAATGCTATAAATTTGAATAGCTTTCATATAGTTGTTTCCTTATTGTTCTAAGGTATATCTATCAGTAACTCAATTTACGAAAAGAATGTTAATTTTCCCCCTTAGAATGAGAAGCAGCAGGTGGAGCGTCAGCAGGTGCAGATCCAGAACTACGAGGCGCAGGTGGTGCAGCTGCAGACACAACTCCAGGTGTGTAAGAAAAAACTCAAGAAAGCAAGGGAGGAGAAAAAAGTTGTACCTGGAGCTTCCTCTGATAGTGCAGCTCATAATCTTACTTGAGTAAGGAACAGTAGATTTCATTAGATCCTGATGAAGTACATTTGTACTTCCAAATGGCAAACCTGTCCAATGCAGCAAGGAATGTTTTTAAATGGGTTGAGGAAATGCAAATTTTAAACAGTGAACATTATGGGTAGAACAGAGATTTTCAGTTTAAAACAGTATACGATTAGAAAGTACAATAAGGAGTATTCAATAATGGTTTGTTTAACATCAGCATAGAGTTGAATGGAATTGCTTTCGGATGGTCTTTTTACAAAGTTTAATACCTTAAAAGAGATACAGGTGGGTTAAATGCTTATAAGTGAAACATTAGAATAATCAGTAGTAATTACATACAGTGTTAAAAGCATGTTTGAAAGTTTTGTTTGCTTCAAATCTAATTAACCAACAATAGGAGGTGTTGTTAAAATATCTGGTAGGTTGTGTTTGAAATGACCAGGTGTATACATGTATTTTATTGGCAGTGTAATATATCGAGGAAACCTTTTGAGTTGAACGTCAACTGACAAGGTCTAAGAAAAAATCAATTTATCAGTACTTTTTAGCATTGATAGTTGATGTAAAAGTATGTATTGCTTGTTCAAGATGTGATGGTAAGGTCTGATAAGCCACTAAATATCTTAGTAAGTGATTGGTTTATTGCAAATAAAATAAATTTGGTAGCAGGGCACTAAATTGCATCAGTGTATTGATACAGTTTCACCCAAAATATATTCACACACAGATAACAGTATAATAAATATATGTAAAAAGTGTTGATTTCAGCATGATATTGGTAGCTCATGGCATTAGAATTTAGATTGTAGAAGTATTGTTATTTAAGTTTCATTCCAACAAGTAGAAGTTATAATCCACAATGGATCCTTGCCATCGCTGGTTTTGCACAGTTGTCTACCATGGTGCCATGGGTATGTGGAATTCCATTGTGTCTAGGTGTCATTTGAAGCTGGCTAAGATGCTGGTAGATTTGCCATGGTTTGATCTGAGGTGGCCGTGTTGCTTACAGGCATGTCAGAAGTGTCTTTCAGTCTAGAGATGGCAAGGCTTGGCAAGTAGTCAAATAGTGGGTGTGGTTCAGTTGGTAGTCAGAGGGTTTTTAGTCCAGAAGGTTATGAATTTTAATCCAGGCCTTTCCCAACATGCATGCTGCTGGAAAGGCTAGTAGTAGTACTTGTAGAGGGAGGATGTTGCTGTCTAGCCATAGTCCTGTGGTGGCTGTTCGTTCTCTGACAATAGCCTTTTTATCTGTTGTGTCTACACTTAAAAGCAGTTAGGGTTAGAAATGTGTAATATTAACAGAGGTGGGGTTGAATTAAAAGTGATATATGACAATGTATTTCCTCTACTTTTTCTTAGAAAGCAAATGAGGACACCCAAAGTGTGGCAGCAGAACTGGCAACAAGCAAGGAAGCCATGAAGGTCAGTGAAAACTGAACTTTGAGCCCGTAACAACTTTTCATAGTATCCATACCTATTATAATCAGTATAAGGTGGCTTTTCACTTTTCAGCAAGCTTCATTTGGAGGGAAGGATTCACTCGGTTGGTATGTTCATTGTTCTTCCCTCCAGGAGGTGCATGGCCAGCTTCACCAGGCTGAGGCTAACCTACAGGCCCTGAGAGACAGGGAGGCCACCCTGGTGTCTACAGTAGAACATCTCACAGAGGTACGTGTATGGCCAGGTGTACATGTATTAGTCAAATAGTATTCTAGTAATATTTGAAATAAAGGATAGTCCGTGAGCCTCCTTGGCCTTCTAGACTTTGTTGGAGGAAACTGACTTAGGAATACAGGGTACCTTGTCAGGTAAAGAGAATTGTCTTTTTTACTTGTCCCCAGGGCAAGGCTACCCAGGAGGAGCGAGCGTCCCAGCTGTCCACACAGCTGCAGGCTACAGAACAGAGGGTGCAGGCTGTCACACAGGAGAAGGTATGTCTGTGCTTAGGCAATAGATGGACGATCATGGACCTTTCTGTTTCTTTCTCAAGCAAAACATACCAGGGTCTCTTTGTTTTGTGGTCAGGTTTCTTCTTAGTAATTTTCCTGTCACATACATGTAGCATCTCCTGTTACAATCAGTAAAAAATTAGCTGAACTCAATAAAGTTAAAGCTTTATTTTTTTGTTCTGACAGGCTGATTCAGACAGTCGTGTGGAGAACCTGACCCAGCAGTGTGGGCAGCTCCGGGAGCAGAAGTCGACCTTGGAGGCACAGCTGACAGCAGCACAGCAGGCACTACAGGCAGAGAAACAGCACTGGCAACAGGTAAGGTCATAGTGGTGCATATCTACTGGTAAAAACTAGAGTTACTTTGATTTTTGGAACCCCTAACAGCTTCTAAAAGTCTGACAAAACTTTAAAAAAATGAATTTCTTACACTTTTTAGGAGCTGGAGACTCAACGGGAAGCCAAGAAGCTGCTGATTGACCAGAAATTGGAGCTGACCAATCAGCTGGAAGAACAAAAGAACAGCATGAAAAAGGTACAGCTTATGAAGATCTTTGTAAACTGATATTTCATTCATTGACTCTGTTCCAGCAGTTTAAAGTAAAAAAAAATACTACCTGGATTTTTACAAGGTGTGCTTTGATGTGGGGAAAAGTAAATTCCCTGATCCTTTCATGCTTTTGTATCTTGTCCCCAGCTTGAAGCTGACCACGCTGCCCAGCAGGAGGCCAGCACACAGGTACAGGAACAGCTACGACAGGACAATGCACAGCTCACCAACAGACTGGTGAGTATATTATGATTGTACATCTGTACAATGCCACTTTTACACCTTCATTATAAGAGAAGCATGAGAGGAAAGATTAATGACATTGCTACAGGAACTACATTACTTATCATCATGTTCTCCAGTCTCCATTTCAAATGATAACAGGTGATCTGCAGTGCTTTGTTGTCTATAGTACTTTAATTGTGAAACAAACTGCCCCCCTTCAGTCTGATGTGGAAGAAGCTAAGAAGACCCTGCAGAAGGAGTCAGACCAGGAGAAGGCCCGTCTAGAGCTGCAGCTGTCAGCGCTCAGTGAGAACCTGGGCACCCTCAGGTCAGAGCTGGAGGTCAACAACGACAAGAAGGCAGAGGCAGAGAAGGCCTACACAGAGCTGCAGGGCGAGAAGGCAGGTCCGTGGGAATTTCAGAACAAATAACAAATTTTCTACCATTTCTTTCCCCTTTGTAAAGTTAAATGGATTTTGAATGTTTCTTTTAATCATTTTCCATGCTAGCTCGGCACCAAATTAGGTTACAGCACTAGTAAGCAGGGAGTGGCTAAGGGACTTCTTCTGGACGTTTTTTGTCATTTTTCATAGTTTTGATCAAACTTTGCAGCAGTATTGCCAGTCAGGTACGTGTAACACACTCGTATATACTCAGTGGTTCCATTTCATCACATTTCAGTGTTGGAAGCTACTATAGAGAACAACCAGGAGGAGAGAAGAGCTCTGCTTCAAAGGTGAGTCCATCGATGGTTCGAATTTCTTCAGTTTTCAGTTTTATTCAGATCCACAATTAGCCTCATAAGAGGCTATTCTTCCTGTGGTCTACACATTCATATATTCTTCTTTCTGAAATTATCAACTTATCAAGTTCCTATTAACTTCCCGGAAATCTTAAGCTCAAAGGGAAGGTTATGAGTTTAAAGAGTTTCATGAATCTTATCAAACAATGCTCCTGTCTCGTGGTGTGATTTGTAGATGCCTGACGAGTGAGAATGAGTGCGAGCAGCTGAGGAACAAGTGTGCAGACCTGAGGAGGAAACTGGAGGATGCACAGGCCGCCATGCAGGAGCTGGGCAGGGAGAACCAGTCTCTACAGGTCTGCTGTTGTTTCAGAAACTACGTATGGTTGTCATGCTAGCAATAAAGAGCAGAACTGTATTGAGTACATACATGTACAGTATATATAAAATATATATGATATATGGTAAATTTATGATTATTCCTACATGCATGTCTAAGGTTCAATCAATCAATCAATATCCTTTATTTATACTGGAAATGCCCTGTCGGCCTTAGCCGCTGTTCCCAGAGGTGCAGTTGAGGGGGGGGGGTCACGGGAACACAATAGATAAGTAAATAAAATTCAAATTACTACAAAAATAAATTACTAAATACCTAACATAATAATCATAACATGTCCAAAGTCACAGTCCACAAAATCAGTCCGCAAATCAAATTTCTCGACTACTGTATTCTTTGTTTGAAAGTTTTCAATGATGGAGCACACTGTGCATCCTCTGGTATGCTGTAAGGTTAAAACTTTAGAATGTATATGTGAGGTGAGAAAATATTACTCATGCACAACTTAAACATGTACATATGTATTCTTCCAGATCAAACAAACGCAGGCCATGAACCGTAAGTGGGCCGATGATGAGACAGTCAACAACTGTATGACCTGTAACAAGGCTTTCTCTGTCACGGTCAGAAAGGTAGGATACTCCTCGTGATCAGCAGATGTGATTTTCAGTAGTTTGATCCTACATGTACATGTGTGCATGCATACATGCATACATGTAGATACAAATGTATCTGTTAAGGCATCCTTTGAATGTAGCCATTGCTTGATGTGTTTTAAGGACATTTTTCAGCTATTTCAGCTCAAAGTAACATGTAACAATCAAACACACTCAACACTTTTGTTCTGTTGTTTCCAGCATCACTGTAGACATTGTGGAAATATCTTTTGCAACGAGTGTTCTGCCAAGACTGCCAAAATCCCCTCATCCAAGAAACCAGTACGGGTCTGTGACACCTGCTTCGAAGAAGTAGCAACAAGATAATCCAAACTTGCCATAATACAAGATAAGCCAAGCCCCCCTGTTTTTATAGTGGAAAAGTCCAGATGCAATCAGTGTAGATAGAAGAATCAGCCATGGTCATTTGTGCTAAGGGGTGGGATAAGAAACTGCATAAAAAGGGACCTAATTGTAGTTTGGTATATGCCAACTATACAAGTTCTCATAGTTCTCATAGGCCTATATATAGGTCAGGGCCTTTATTTTTTTTCATTTTTGTATACATACATGTACTTTGTATGTTGTACACGGGTACTACATTTTGTCAGTTCGATGTCTTCTTGGTTTGTAACTATGGGAACCATGTCCTGCGTGTATTTATGTTATTATAGTACAGTCAATTTATTCTGTTTGTGGCTAGTGTAGAAAAGAGGCATTTGATTTTAGTAAATTTGAAAAAGTGTGAGTTAAGCTGATAGAATCAAACAGTATATGATAAACTATAGCAGACATGTAATCAGGTATAATTACCGGTACTTGACTTCATAGACTGTATCTTGCCAAAAATCTAGCAGCTAATACATATAAACGAGACAATTTCCAAAATGAATTGAATTGTGGATAGCAATAGACAAAATGACACAAATTAGCAAAGAAAGCAATTGTTGCAAAATGTACAAAATAATCTCAACACGGATAGTGAGTGATTAGAGCTAGCAGTACATTTCCACAAACATCAGCAAAAACATCTTTTAAATTTGAAGTAAAAAATGAGTACTAGTAATACTACACAAGTAAGACAATTTGTAGTGAAGTTTTACCTCTTTTTTTGTTAGTAGAAAAATGTTTTAACCATGTGCATAAGATGCAGTTTGAAAGTACATGTACAATGTTTTCATACTGTGAACTTTCAGGGTACACAAAGAAGAATGCTTGGAGATGTTGGTATGACCAATGTAACAGTTGCACATAAAGTGAAACTTGAAGGTACATGTACATTCAGTATAGTACAATGTAGGTACATGTACATTCAGTATAGTTAGCTAATACATTGGGCTTCCTTGAAATTGCTTTCCATATACATTTTGGAACTAGAGCAAACTTTACTTGGCAAATGAAATAAAGCTTTGTTGAGGTTTGGGTGGCAAAGAATTATTTAACATCATAGAAAAAGAGTCTGGCTGGATAAGTACATGTATAATTCATGGTAACTTTGTCATCATTCCAATAAGTATGCTAACATGACAACAGGGGGTATGACTGTTCCGCTGTACTACACAGTATGTATTTAAATGCCATCATTATTTTATGCTAGAAATTGTGCCATAGATAGAATTCAGTGCAGTAGCATTACAGCCAGAAGTGTAGTTAGTGAGCATGCTAGGTAGCTTACTTTTGACTTGATGTAATCACAGGTACATTTTCTGTTGATGTTTGACAAGACACGAAAACAAGAAACTTTACATTGTAGCTGTTACAATTTCCAAACAGCCAACTTTGTTCTATGATAAGTATGGACTTTGTCTAATCTAGCTCCAACAGAGATGCATTTGTCATTTTATGATGTTGTTATTTTCTTATGATTAATTGCAATGTTGATTTTTGATTTGCTTTTAATTCGCTTACTGCATAGATAGTACAGTAGGCTTGTGCCAAATATATGCAATTATTTTATGCCATGACTTGTTTTACCATTGAACTATTCAGTATTGGGTGCATTCTTCCACTGAAGGCAGCTTCACCATAGTTAAACTTGAAGAACTGAATAAAAGCAGGCCTGTAAATTGGTGCCAGATTTGTTATTTTCCCCTATTTTAGACAGCTTTGCAAATGTGTAAATGCGAGCATTTTCAAGTTAGTGTTAGCGCTTCCTTATAAAGTCTTGTGATTATACACAATACTGTTCCAAAACTCGTTGTAACTATGTGGAATATTTGTATTGTATATTGTGTGTGTGTGCGTGCATGCGTACAGTGAAAAGTACCTTTACTACATGTGGTTAAAAAATGTGCTGCTTTTCAACTAGATATCATCCAAGGAGAGACATTCAGAACTGTCAAGCATACTGAGTTTACTGCGAAGCAAATAGTTTCCTGGACAGGTGAATATACAGGTAGATATTCACGGTTAGCAATACTGCATTCTCACCACACAAGCTACTAGAAAGTTCAAACTACTACCAGCTGTATGTCTGCTGAACAATGTGTTAACAGTAAGTTATAGAGTTACTCCGTGTTTCGCAACACTAAATTCTTATCGCAACATACAAGACTAACTTCTCTTTTTACATACAAGTTTCAGGAGGAAGAGCAGATTTCACACCCAAGTGTCACAATCTAGTGTTTTTCATACTGGCTTGACAAACGTTTCACTGAACACTTATATAATAGTACAATATTACCAAATAGGGCAAATATCTTTCCATTGAATGGGGAAGTGCAATGTTCTCAAGGTTTTGTAACAATAGTTTTGGGGATTAAAGATCTTTTCTTTTTTCAACACTGCCCATCATGACGTTTTAAGTAGTGAGAAATCTGCTCAAACTGTTTTAATACATTCGTACATTATATACTTTCTATACCTTCACACAGAATGTTACATCTATAACCTTAACAGTATTTCCTGTGTACAATGGCTATTAGTATACTCAAGGTACATACCACACAGGCTGGGACTAATACACCTTTTTACATCTACAGTCATCAGCAATGTGAACCAATTTTGTATGAATGTTGACATCTTGTTACAAAATCTGGTGCTACTATTACGATATTCTTCACTGTTCTTTATAGACACAGTGCATGTACAAGTGTAGTCACACAAGATATATAGGAAACATCATTGATAGCACATCGAAGACTGTATAGTGCCTTTCTAATAGCAGTTTTGCCTTCACTACACACTGTTCACTTGTGGTCCTCTTGTGATAACTTTTTACACCAACTTTTACCCTAGCATGTAATCTACTACAAGTGTTCCAAATCATGTGTTGGCTTCTTCAGAAAGGGTGTCATAAGCAACACCATTTGTACACTTTAGAGTGCTGAAAGTGCAGAGCAGTTTAAGTAGTAACAGCAATTACTAATAGTGCAATGGGACTTAGCCGAGTACAATACTAGTAAGTGCGACTTGTGCATGTAAATGTACACATGACAGGTGCTGGTATTATACATCAAGGGAACTGCTACCTGAAAACACCACATGAGCAAAGCCTAGTTCCACAACAGTCAATACACAACAGGGAATGGCTTCATTGTGTGGCAGGTGCTTGGTGAGTGGGTACAAGTGAATTTCTTTCCAGTCACTAGTGCCACAAGATGCAGGATATTCTATCACGACATAAGTACATTCAACAATTCCTCATGTATATCGAAAAGCACACTGAAAGGTTCCTCACCTTGCCTGTACAAAATGATGAATAGGGAACATGGTTTATATCCTCGACACTGTAACACTAAGGTAGGCACATTACACCACTGAACAATAACAATGTACACCATCACTTCAAATGATCTGATACTCACAGGTATGAAAGTGTGACAAATTTGTAAATTGTAACATGACTCTGTGGGAAGTGTTAGTTATACATCTTGCCTACTTAGTGTGGCTACAGTCCTATGTCTTTTTATGTTGTCTTGAATAACATGAGTGCAGTTCACAGGGTTATAGATGGGGGGCACTCTTACACTACATTTCATACGATCTTGACTGACTGGTGCAGGTAGGACCACTGACATCTTGTCCTTGATTATCAAGATGGTATATCTTGAATGCTATGAATCAACATGCTATGTCTTTCTTTTCAGCATCCAGAATATTGTACACATACATTCCATCACACTTTGCCTCTTCATCTTGGTGTATTGTTGTATGGAAATTCCCTCACAAAAGCCAATTCACTTCCCTTTTTCCTGACTCAAGATACATGTACTCTATACAAGTTAATGAAATATAGTTGGTAAACAGTGACTTTCTTCTACTCAAATTTTTCAAATAACAATGCTAGGAAAGAAATGTAACACCTACTTTACAAATGTATTACCATAAAAAGTAATTGTGTAACAAAAACTGCATACCTTCCCTGTTGGTACAAGGTTTAAGTTTTCCTTATAATTCTGCATTTTGATCTTCATCAGTTCTTGAATTACAGAAGCAGAATAGCAGATTTTAGTGTAGAACACAGGAGTAATTCAAAATAGCTACACATATCACATTGTGATACTTATGAAAATAAAGCACTACAACATGCTAAGAATAACTTTAAGGAATGATCACTAAGAGTGTATGATATCTGCAGCTCCTTAGATTTGCTTTACAGCTATTTCACTGCTGCAATGGAATTTTCCTTCTTAGCAAGAGAAAATATTGTATGACCAACTGTTGCATGCATAATTTTTTTTTTCAACCAAATTCAAGCCAACAAAAAACAAGACCAAGATTTCAAGGGTTGGCCTTAACCTTACATCAGAAGACAACTTAAAGGAAAACTTGCATACTAAGAAACCCAAACTTAATGTTGAAATATAGTTATAAGAAAACTTTTACATACTAAGAAAAGCACAATATCCAACAGCCACAAATGCACCATACAAATGTTTCCTTGAGTGTTAGTTTAAATGAACCCATAAAGTATGTGAAATCATTACAGTTTTATTACAAAGCAACGCAAGGCAGTGTCTACATATATAACAGAATCAGCAGCATTCGATTAAAAATTCACCTGACAAATTATAATTTACAATGCCTCATGACATTTGAACAGTAACTTTTTCCCTGTTATCCACCAACAGGACAGCACAAATTCCCTGCCAAATGCTATCTTAGCAGGGAGAAGGTTAAAGGTTCAAATGTTGTCTCATGCAGAGTTGTACCAACATTTGTATGGTGCATTGTAGCCATTGTTAACTTAGCATTGGGCGTGGCTCGAGTGGGCCGGCTCATATCTGGCTGGGGGAGGACAGGGTGCCCCCCTCCATGCCGGTGGGAGTGCCCAGGGCGGGGCTGGGGTACTTTTTCTCAGCAGGCTCGTTGCGCTGTGCGTGCCACGGGGTCTCCTTGTAGGTGAACCAGATGTTGCCGGCCCACAGGATGAAGTTCAGGAATCCAAAGAGCTGAAGCGAACGGAGAAAAAAAAATCAGAATTGATTTCAAAAAGCTATCTTTACAGGGTGGTCGTGACAAGTGCAAAACAATACATGTAACATCATACAATATACAGCTTCATTGTACTATCTACTGTGGACCATTTGCTGCAAATCCCTGCAGCAGTTACATTGCCTGCATATATGCCTGGTCCATTTGCTTGCTAGGAAAAACTTAGACCTCTGGTAACGCAGTAAGCAAGCCAGTTCATTAGCACAACAACGTAGCCCACACAAATGTTGCCACAATGATGTGTAGCTTGCCCCCTGCCTTACCCATAATTTTGTAACACTGACAAACAGGACTGACTGTAATGTTGGTACTCACGATGGAGACGTTGAGGTTGGCGTAGGAGGAGTTCTGCCCCCCGTTGGTGCACACAATGTCTGGTTTCTTACTACACAGCTGCACGATGTCACCGTGCGTGTACACGTTCGGGGCGTACGTCGACCACTTGATGTCGGCCACGGCGGCGGCCCACGCCGAGGAGCTGGTGAACCAGAAGATGGCGAACGCCGTGGTGATGAACAGGTCCTGGGGGGGGGGATCATCCAACATTACATACATGTGCATGTACAAGCACAATCAACTTACTAACTTACTGTCATCATTACAATTTTCTTCTCATGCTCAAGCACCAGTCCTTTTTTTTGGAGCAAGATTGTTAGCTTTAATGGACAAGACACTATCGTACAGCACGAAGTTGGGTCTTCGTTCTATACTTGAACTTGAATTGTCTGTCTCCAAACATTTCTTGTGTACAAATTTTGCTCCCAAACAGGTTATTTCACATCTATATAACTGTTGGTAACTTCAGTTCCATTGAACTTAACTTTATTATTTGCTCTGAAGAACAACTTTCAAAATACATAACAAATTTTACATCTACTTACTGCTTTAGACCACAGGTTCTTGTCGCCAAATTGACCTTCCACGAAAACGTAGATCGTTAGTGCTACTAGGGAGTACAGGAAGGCAAAGACTCCAATGGTCACAAAGTACTCTGCAGATGAGTTTTCGTTGCCGACCAGTGGGTAGACAGTCTGGGTGGTGTTTTCACAAAACTTGCTCACCACGGGGACGTCTTCTAGCCTGAAGCAAGACAATAGGCACGTTCTCAGTAACAAGAAGGGAGGCACAATAAACAAAATTGACATACTATAAGTATTCCCCAATCAAAGAGGGAAATATAAGTGCTGTGTATATAGTTTCATGAGATTTGCAGTTCAATAATTATAATGTTCTTATTTTGTTATAAGAAAATTAATATAAATAGCTGATAGCCATGGATGGTACTGTGTTCATAGTCAGCTAATACTAACAAGAAAAACAAGTTCTAAAATTTTGACCAAGAAATGTGTACGTTGTTATTGGTAAAAAGAACCTACTTGTATGGATAGGAGTAAAAAACGTCCACCAGCTTGCCAGGATCAGTGTCATTGCATTTCACACTGAACTGGAAATTGCTTCCTCCTCCACTCGCAGTGGCAAATGCAAAGATTGCAAATATCTGGAACAGAAAAGAACTAATTATTACCGTAAACAGAATCAGTAAGGCAAACACGTAGGGCAGTCGTGACAATACTGACATAATCTACTCTACTCCTACTACCCTCTATCCATTAGTTTTGCCTGTTCAACTTGAAGATGCCTGTTCAACTTGAAGATACCCCAGTATTACCAGAGTGCTACCATCATCTTTTGAATTTGAGATTGACGGATGCCTACTACCTAGCAACTGTCAGTAGATGTATCATTGCAACTAGGATAATTGTGAGCAAAGAAAGGACTCACAAACTGCAACAACTTGAGGAAGCCCCTGGGCTCCTTCACTACTCTCATGTTGGAGTTGGTCATCATCTGAAACACCAAGGAGACAAAGTGTTAGTAATAATAACACTTAAAAACACAAATGGAGAGTATGTATGGCAACAACATCTTTTTATACTTAACCATTGCAATATGGTGTCTCATGTGAGACAACAACTGAAGCATATCAAGATTACACTTTGTACATTTGGTCTGTTAAACTTTATGATATAGAAGTCCTAGTATCCAGGTTATTGCACATGAAGTTGGGTTATGATATCTGGGGAGTATTGAGGAGTGTTAGGGGATCATGCATTCACATCTACATGTAGCTCTTCCCTACTAGTAGGTGCCAATACAATCTTGCTGTCATACACACTAAGGCCAGGGTAAAATGAAGCTTGAACACTTAATCATGAAGCTTTTAGTGAGGTGAACCAAGCAGTTCAGGGGATGTAGATATGATAAGCAATAAACCCATAAACCTCTTCTTGCTACACATGAACCATGTGTTATATAGCACTAGCAGTGATGCCGCAAGTTTTGTTTATCTATTAGTCACTATACCTCATATTGCAGTTACCTGTCATACCATTTTGAGTATAACTATAAGGAAGAAATGTAAAACTAAAAAAGGAATATAATTGTAAAAACAATTTTAACCCTTAGCTTGTAAATTCATCTCTGTTGGTAGAACTCATTGTGAAGAAGTAGTTTAGACTGCAATTTTTGACAATGGCTGAGTGTTGGCAATTACAGTCTAAAAATTACTTCTTCATATTAACACCTTGTCATTCTTCGTAATCGATATTCTTCATATTGTGTGTATTCCCCATCCCCTGAAGCTTGGCACAGCTCTATTACTAGTAGATCATAACGCCGGCAGCTGCAGTTAAACCTAAGGAGCAGGAGGAGACTGAAGGGGGAAGTCTAGAGTCGTAGGCGAGTCCTTACCGTCTGGACGCTGCTTACCTGCGGTTGAGCCAGGCCCACGGGGGACCCAGGCGTTCCCGCGCCCTCGAGAAGAAGCAAGTTTGGGAACTACGATTAGTTCATGTCATCACACCACACAGAGAGAGGTTTACAGACTCTACACATGCACTATCAAGTCAAACTAGCATGCAGCTGGCAGATTACATCTCAAAGTGACCATCAAATTTTTTAAAGTTCATATACCACCAATAGTTTGTGCTTGACCAGATAACAGGCAAACAAACATATTAGAACACCATATTTCTTTATAATTAGATGGGTGCATTATTCAGGTACATAGGGATAACCTTTTCCCTGCTAAGATAGCCTTCAGCACCAAGTTTGTATTGGTTACAAGGATAGGCAGCAGGGAGAAGGTTAAATCTTACTCAATCCTATGTGTATACATGTACACATCAATCATAGCTGTCAAAAGCTTTCCAAGATTACAGGTGCTTATGTCATATAAAATGGAAGGAAATTCTCGTATCAAATAAAACATATATTACCGGTATATGCAACACTACAATGGTATAAAATGACAAGCAACGATAGCTTTGACAGGGGAATCTATATAGTTTGTATTCAAGACTTGAAACAAGTCTCTTCTGTACGGGTTTACTCTGCCAAAATGTCAGAGATATGGACCATACCTTGGCCTCATAGGTTGTCAAAAATGGTACAAGAAAAAAATTTACCAAAGGAGAGTGTTTAGAAACACAGTAATTCTTATCTGTATTACATGTGTATGGGAGCAAATTTCTTATATTACTGCTTACTGTAATCGTAATTTACTGTAGTGTTAAATATGGGAGTGCCTTAAAAATGTTCATTTTCTGTGGGCATGCGACATGAACTTGATGATGTCGCGATATAGAGTGCTTTGCTTTTATAATATATACACATGCTTGCAATATAACCATGCATTAACAATCCATGCAGTACATGTACGTGACGTACAAATACGTGTACATACAGTAGTTACTCCACTCATGTGCGAAGGTTATACGGTAGAAAGAATACTACCTGGTTTATCATGGAAGATGCCTACATTAGGACAGGCCACAGGACAGTTCAGATGTAAAGACACTCGGATTAGTCATAGTTCATACACTCAACATTTCTTCCAGATAGTGCATGCATTCACAAGTCTAAGACAGTATGCATTGATCATTACGTATCCCTTTTATCCATACTAATCTTTACACATCTCTTTGCATAAAAAACTAAGAGGTCCTTCCCTTAATGTACCTGGGACATGAGATCGGCTACTCCTTTTGTAATGGCTGAAAATTCTTTTTAATTATGAATGAGGTAATACAGTATACTTAAAGTGTTGTCATCTCAGAAGAAAAATGTTACCAAGAAAAGGCCATGTACTGATATAGAAAAAAAAGAGCATCTGGTATATGACCAAAAATTAGAATCCCAGCTGAAATATTTTTAATTTTACACTGAGTCTCTTGTCTCACTGTTTTGATATTATGACATGTATGTACAACATATTGCTTGGAAATTCCATGTATGTTCTGGTGATGACATGGTATTCTAGACATCCACAGCTAATTGCAAGTACATGTACATGTATCTTGCAGATCTCCCTTGGCATCTTAGTTACTTCAGGAATTTTTCACTCTGATGATCAAATGTCATTTTGTATTTCCTTCCACAGAAACCATGTACATGTATAAATTTTAAAGAACACATGCAATGATTCCTACATATTACATGTACATTTATGTACACTTGTACATTGTACATGTATATACATGCACAGTGCAAAAGAAGCATCTCTGATTATGAATACAGATAAACCAGAAATGTCTCTATGCCCCATCCACATGAGATTTGGGTGGGACGTTTAAGCCGCATTTGCTATAAAATCCAATTTGAATCTGATAAATCTGATTTGTTTTTATGCAGATGCACTGAGACATATATTACGTGACTATCATGTGCGTATCTTCCAAATCTAGCTTTTATAATCCAGGCTTTTGCATCAGCACTAAAAGTCTGGTTCGAACTTTATGCCAGTTTATTTGCCTGTTGACAAGATGTATAGATTTCAGGTACTGAGTGAACCGTGCATTACCAAAACAGACTACTAGTATATAGTATAGCCATTACAGATACAGGGATATTCCAGCTAACACAGTAACAGCAGCAGGATGGAGACATAATCATCACACATGATGTTACCAGTACAGTCTGCCTCAGGATGGGAGGAGTATGACTATATTTGGACATTTCTGAGGACAGGAAATCAGCAGAAATAACCAAGGTGCGTTGGCAGGATGTCCATATCACAGGAAAGGGCAGGCTATATGGGCGACACACACTTAAGAGCAGCTTCTACATGCATTTTATTGCATTTTGCCATCTACTACAAATGCACTTTTGCCCTTTTCTGGGGGAGTAGTAGCTGATAGGAAAAATTGCTGATTTCTGGTGATTCTTCAAAATTTAATGGATGATTTGCCTTTTTAAAGTACATGTATCATGATAGCACACACTGAGGGTTGAGTGTTTTATCATCTGAGTTACTGTATTGAGAAACCAACAAGCTGGTTTTGGCATGTAGAAGGTAATTTACAGGGACATTATCAGTTCAATAGCAAGCGACAGGAAAAGACTACAGCACGGGTGTTTTGATTAATGACCTACCCAGTGACCAATCTTTTCTTGCTTGACAATATGGGTGATAACTTTGAGGCACATAATTTGTATTCCAGCCCCTTTGGGTTGAAGCAGGGCTTCTACCATGTAATTGCAGTGACAACAGTATAAACCCTGTCTCCACAAATATGTCCCGGCTATTGAAGAACTGAAGGCAATCACATTTACAGTCGCTGTTTGGCAGTGACATACGACATGATAGTTTTGTCTCCAACTTGTTAATGAAGCTCTGGCAATAGCTGTAAGGGAAAATGCATTGAGTTTTTGCTTGAGGAGGGGTGAAGGACCACCTGTGCATCCATATTTATAGGACCCCAGACAGGGATTAAATGATTAGTCCCTAATGCTCCACAGGTAGGTGGGAAAACCCATTAGTTCTGCAGGGATTGATCTTGGGGGAGGCCTTGAAATTCAAATTACAGCCAGGCATAGATAGGGCGCTGTTTTGCACCCCCAGACCTGGAGTCATTTTATGGACGTTTGAAGCACAAAAGCATGATAGACCTTCTTGTGATGTATAGCCACAAAATTACATTAGATGAAAGCACAACTCTTAAATATTCCAGGAATAATACAAGTGGTTCAAATAGATTTAAAAACAATACGTGTTAGACTCCTTTATTTATATTATGTTTGAAGGGTTATCTGATCTTGTCTAAAATTTAGTAAAATGATGCATTTGTACATAACTTAGAATGGATTTACATAAGCATCTATGATTTATTATACCTGTGGCTATCAATGGATTTCCAGTACATGATTTTATGTGCCAGTGTACTTATTCACTGCCAATGTATTTCCTTCCACAGAGCAACCATGGAGGTAGAAAATTCTCTTTTCTACCTCCATGGAGTAACTAATCATAGATCTGGGTTTTAAGTGTGCCTGCCTGCCCTGCCATGGTCATTCTTTGCTGGCAACTACTTGGTGATAAGACCATGCCTGGCTGGAAAACATCACAGTCCAGTGTGGCAGTGACGTCTTGTATACGTGACGCTGTGCACATCTTAGAGCTGCTTAATAATTCACGTCAATCTACGGTGCATGTATCTGATGCTGGGTGGAGAAAGGTTCATGTGACCACAGGATACATACTAGCTGTACATGTGGGTCAGGACTGCAAATTTGTTCGCAAACAGACACATTTGGGATCGCACAACATATGGACAACTCGTGGTCTCCACAGCAAAATAGATTTCGTTACAATGTTGATTTTTTGCTGTGTTTCTAGTGCAAATAGTAAGGCCGCTGTTGCCAAAATGTTTACGCTACGCCGGTTGACTGAAAAAAATCACCACTGCCTGGCTGGTCGGTTTTGAATGTTACCGACCTCGATCTAAAGGTATTTTGTGCATGTAGCGTCATCAAGTATGTAAACAGTTAGGTCATCATTGTTGAATCGTACTCCTTACAAAATCAGTCTCCTTAAGATTCTGGTAAGAGTAAGCTGTAGGTCCTTAAAACCGACAACATGGTATCTTCACATGATGTTGAGAGTGGAAAAAATTAAGCCAAATTTACACCCCCCTCCCCATAAAATATCCCTTATTCCGTCGCCCTGCATGGCCCAGTGAGAACCTAATATCACCACATAACGTGGAAAATTGCATTTGTTCCCCTTGAGTATCATTTTTGACTGTGGAAACGTAATTACCGTTGTTTAGGCGGGCTCGTATCGACCTATTCTCCCATCCGCCCCCGCCCCATCTTATGACGATCACCAAATCATCAAACATTTTCGTATGCAGCCGTCGTATCATGGCCAAGGAAAGCGTCCTGAGAGCCAAAGTAACCTACCTCTGCGGGATCCATCTTCTAGTTCTGTGGCTGGAGATTTCTCCTGGTGCGAAACAAGATCTCTACTGCGGTCAGGACTGATTTTTAGAGCAGAAATATTCACAAATGTTTCGGGGTTTAGTCATCCGATCTCTGCTAAGCCGCCATTTTGGATCCACCAAGGCCCCCGAGCTTTGGCATTAATGCATACTGATGACAAGACCCCATAGATAACCTTTGACGCCAGAGTGAAGTATTACGCGCCTTGGGGCAAAAAGCACGTCATAACCCGACGAAATAAATGTACGGCCTCGATGCGAAAATGCATTTTCCATACTTAAGTCCATCGTATAGTCCATTCAGTGCTGGGCTTGATTCTCTAAGTGTGATAGCGTAAAGTGGTACCACTGGTATGCCATTAAAACGTCCAAAGAGGCCCTATAGCGTTAGTGTCACCTGAAATGTTGAGAAATATTCCTTCCTTTTCGGTCAAACATCTAAAACCACAAGTTTATAGCAATTCAATAATCGGGGAAATAGTGTAAGATGGATAAGAAAGACAAGACACAACCTTTGTTTATGAATAATAAGACCTGACTTTTACTATCATACAGCTGATTAGGGATACGCAGCTGTTTACGTCCTTGCGGCTGCTTTATCAAAATTATGTACCAACATAGATTAAATATGGCAACTGGTAATAATAATTTTTTTCTGAAAACACAGGTATCTTAACATGAGAATGTTAAGAATATTTCTCACGTGATGACGACTTAGCATGTGGCTATGACTCATCACTATATGATGTAGGGGACGCTACATGACGTCATGGACACGCGACTGCAAACGTACCATATGATTCCTTAATCTCCAAGCAGATCTTTCGTTGGGGGGAAAGACTGTGATCTGCTTTGAGATTAGATTCCTTAGTGTTGTTCCTCCACTTCATAACAGGTGTTCACAAAAGACTTCACACTTTCATTGATGTCGGTGGTTTTAAAGTGTCACTTGAAAACAGGTGTTTACTTTCATGAGGCATGTTCGAGACACAGTAGAGCAATAATTGTAGCACTTATGTAACATATTGTGCTTCATTAATTTCACATGCACTTGATTCATAGAGCCTCCTTGGTCATATATAATCCAAAAATAGGGATGGTCGTTGTTAAAGTATGCAATCATTCTATTTTATACTAGTTACCGGTAAGTATGTTAATATATAACGTTACATAGTTAATGTATACAAAGGTATTTCCCATGTTTTATGGACTATCGGTACAAAAGTGTTTCCCTGCGTTTTCGGACTATCGGTACAAAAGTATTCCCCTGCGTTTTATGAACTATCGATGGCTTCAAATCTAATCTCTTGGAATTGCCACAATATCGTGAGGCTGGGGCGCGTGGGTCACGCCCATCCTGCCCTTGCGGGACGGCACAGGAGCGCCCTCTGGCAGCTTGAGCTCGAAGTGCTGTAGCAGTGTGATGACGAAGATGAAAATCTCCACCCTCGCCAACTGCTCACCCAAACACACTCGGTGGCCTGAATGAATGTAAAATTGATGTCAACTCATAGCCAAAACTCACTCTGCTACAAAATAATCTACAGATCATGGTCAAGCGACAATTTGAAAAAATACTTTTGTTCCCAAAGCTTGATCACTGTATCGTTTTTACTGACAGAAAAACACAATAAAATTGCTTCTTGTTCGGGAAGGGACTAATTTGAGTGTACCTCAAGATTAGTACTACAGCAGAGCTTATCATCTTTTATATTTTTTAGTTATTTCCATTCCGCCGATTTCGTTTCCAATGTTCTCCAAAAATCACAGGGAATGAACTTGACATCAAACCTGTGGAGAACGGAATGAACCCCTCCGGTTTCTGGAACTTGCCGCTGTCGTCCAAGAACCTGCCGGGGTCAAACTTTTCGGGCTCCGGCCAGCGCTGGGGGTCGTGATGCACGGACCACAGGTTCACAAACAGGATCCAGTCCTTGGGGATACTGTAAAAATGAAGAAAAAAATGTATGTCTCATCCATAAAATTATTTTCTTTCTCGGTTTTTCAGTCTTGTGTCAATGTCTCGTAAGACGTAAATTTCTATAAAATTTATTGAAGAACACAGAATTCGGACTCACTTGTATCCGTTGAGGGTTGTATCGTTGGTGGTGGCGCGGGGGATGCCGAGAGGCACCACGGTGGCAATCCGCTGCACCTCGGCCAGGACGGCGTCGGTGTACGGCAGCTGGCTGCGGTGGGACACGGACGGCGGGCCCTTCCCCAGCACGCCGTCTATCTCCTCGTACACCTATACACATCGTGCAATTACGTTATGTGGAAATAGGTATCTGGAAATAGTAAATTATCAACTTTTGTTTCGTTATTCGTAATCCCCAAGCAGATGTATTATTCAGTATATGCGTACTTTTCTAACATTTGGTACGTCTTTCTAGTAGTGTGCCTTCTATCTAGTAGTAGTGCAACTATTCACCGCAATTCGGAGATCTCAAAAACCAAAACAAACTCTTCGCCACCTCCTTCCCGAAATTAAGCCGGATCCTTATATCTTCTTGGTGGAAAGGCTATCCCTACCTTGCGCTGCACGTCGGGATACACCACCATGTAGAACAGGGTCCAGCGGATGGTGGTGGCGGTCGTCTCCGCTCCGGCGAAGAACATGTCCCGCATGATCTGCAGCAGCTGTTCCTCCTGGAACCGGGTCCCCTCCACGTCCTTCTGCCGCTGGATCTCCAGCAGGTACGCGTCGATAAAGTCTCTCAGGTCGTTGGGGTCGAAGCTGGCCTTGTGCTTGTCCAGTTCCTCCCGCAGATAACCCATGATGGACAGGAACTTCTTCATCCAGGGCTTCAGCCGACCCTCCCAGCCAGGGATGTATCTAGGGTCGGGAGAGGGAAAGAAGGGTTTTAAAAATACCTCTCATCGAGAAAACTCAATCTTAGCCGTGTTGCTCTAACGAACCATCGAATCTAAGTGCTAAGCCAAAGACGACTTGCGATCGTTTGAGGACATTTTCCGGATAATCATGTATGGATCCTTTTGCCTTTCCCAAATGCAGGACGAATGTGACCGCGCCGAGACCGAGTGCTATCAACCCCGCATTCAGTGGCTATGTCACATTTATGGTCTGTTTATACGTTTATGAGAAGAATGATCGGAAGAAAGTTAAGATACCTGGTGAAGGGAATAAAGTTCTGCGGCACGGCGAACACGTTGGTGGACACCATGTAGTCCAGGGCGTCCATCATGCGCTGGAACAGCGGGTCGTCATACTCCCACCTGCACGTGGGGAGAGGGAGAATTACATTCACGAATAAATCTGTATCTGTTTACTGATTTGAGCCTTCGGCAAAGCACGTACACTAGTATCGTAGTTACTCTCCGAGCAGCTCTTTCGGTGGCAAGTCGTAACTTACATCATAGCCACGGGACGGCGGATGGTTATGAGTTTCTTTAAGTGAAAAGAGAAAACACGCACGGATTCTGCTACACCTTGGAGGGGGCGGGGCACAAGATACCCGTCTCACCTGTCGCCGAACACTATATTGCAGATGACGTTGGCGACGGCGTTCTGCAGTAGTCGGTGTGTACTGAACGGCTGGCCGTCGAACTTGGCGATCTCTGACTGTGATAACACAATAATGACAACAATAACTTTATATTGCACAACGATTGTATTAAGATACAACATAAAACAAGTTACTCTAATAAAGCGACTATACATATAAAAACATAACACATGCAAGAATCTATCTATGCAAAGAGCACATTGACGTCTAGTGCAACGAAGCCAGCCATCTCTATCATAGTACCACGTCTGTCCTTGGTGCTGAACAACTCTTCCGGTATAGTGCAATAGTGCAGAAGAACGTGCACGTTATACCATGGTGTTTCAAACGTCAGAAAACAATACTGTCATACAGGCAGAAATATGGATGGACATATACCCATGCTATTGGCACACACAGCAGCAAGTAGATATGAAAGACATAAAATGTGTCAAATTTTGAATTTTCTTTCTAAAGCAGTTACGCAGGTTCGTCATTGATAAATTATCTGGAGTCCGGTTGTCTATATCCTATGTTCGTTGACACGAGTCTCTCCCCTACCTGTAGCGCCTGGGATTCCTCGATGATTTTCCCCTCTATGCTCCGCTTGCCGAAGCCGAAGTCGCGCAGGCTCATGAGAGTAAATTTCCGCTGTTCCTTCCAGAACGGGCCGTACGGAGCGAAGATCACACCTGAAAGCAGTGACAATAATTCAAGTTGTTTTTCATTTCCTTTCCTTTCCTTTTTTTCTCAAAAATAGGTCAGAATTACAAAAGAAGGATCCAGATTCCAGACCATGGATTATTTACAAAGCTTTGTACGTTTTGTACTATTGTACATGATGAACACATATCGAGGACAGGTAGTAACCACTTTGTAAGTCATATGTCCCTGATTGGTAAGAAACTTACCAACTCACCTTTACCGCCGTCAGAAACCTTGTTAATGAAGTAGATGAATGTTGGCCTGCCGGAGAAGTCCTCCGCCTTCCCCACGAAGGCCTTGTGCACGGTGTCGTACCCGTTCAGCACCACGGCGTCCCTCTGGCCGAGCCGCACGTGCAGGACCGGGCCGTACTGCTGCGCCCACCGCGTGTACACCAGGTGAGGGTCCTGCCGACACGACGGGAGGAATTTGTTAATGAGACGGCGGGGCCCAAGGCTTATGAAACGCTGGACGCTCGAGTAGTTAAAGTGAATGGGAATATTCTTAACCTTCTGAAAATCCATTTACAGCGGATTTTCGCAGGCATGGGTGGTCCGGTTTGTATGTATGTATATATGTGTGTGTGTGTGTGTGTGTGTGTGTGTGTGTGTGTGTGTGTGTGTGTGTGTGTGTGTGTGTGTGTGTGTGTGTGTGTGTGTGTGTGTACGTCGTACCGTAC